AATCTATTTATATTATATTATATTATATTATATTATATTTTTTTCCTTGCCCTAAAAATTCTAAATAATTTCGAATCGATGTAATTCCATCAGCTCCGCATTCGAAGGCAACTATTTCTGCATTGAGGTGGATCTTCTTTGGTACTCTGCCTGTTGTGACTTCATGCAAGATCTCCAGGAGAATTCTGGGATTGAGATCCGCCTGCTTTGGAATCCTTGGCGCCAAACAGCAAACAGGAAAAACATCTTACAGCCCCGGAAAAGCTGTTGAAAAATATATTCAGTATGTCACATGTTGCTCAAGGGGAAAATAGATCAAGCTCAGATTCTTGGGTGCATTTTGATCCAAGAGCTTCAACTGCCGACTCGCATTCTTCTTCTTTAGTGCGTTCATCATAGCTTGGAATGCCAGTTGAGTCTGTGGATTCGGAGGATAGCGGATAGTTGTCTCATCCAGCATGTGAAATGCTCGCTCCCACTCAGCTGATTTGGCTAAGCCATTCACTACTGAAGTGAAGGTAAAAGAATCTGGCTGCAAGGCAAATTCATGGAACTGGCCGAAACAAGTCAGGATGCTTTCCCAATTGGAACCTGTTGCTGCAGCCTTTATGCTTGCATTTAAGGTGATCCTGTCTGGAATGTGCCGCTGAAGAGCTTCCTGAAGGTAGTGAATTGCCTTTTGCCATTTCTGACCCAATTCCAAGGCTGTGATCAAAGCTGCATACATTGTGATGCTCGGTTGCAGGCTGCTGAGAACCTGTGTTGAGAACTTGTGGTGTGCATCTTGCCATTTGTGCTGTTGAGACAATACTTTGATCATCGAGGTGTAGGTGACAGTATCAGGCATTGGCCCCATTGGCATTAGGTCAATCTGCATTTGTCTTGGCCACGCCTTTGTTTTCTTCCCCATGCTGTCGAATTGATCGATGGCTCGCTCAAGTTGTTGTCCTCTCTCCAAAGCACTGATCAGAGTGTTGTAGGTGATGACATCTGCCTGTATTGCCTTCGCAGGCATTGAGTTAAATAGCCACAGTGCTTGGGCCCACTGAGTCTCTTTCTGGAAGGCAGCCAGAGCTGTATTGCACGAAACTATATCCCTTTCGAGACTATAGCGATCCATGTGTTGCAGTAGTTGCAAAGCTCTTTCCCACTGTACCCCCTGGGAAAAAGCACCAAGGACAGAGTTCATTGCTATCACATTCAGCTGCACTTGCAAATTGCACATCTCTTGCAGAAACCACAACGATCTCTCCCACTGACCGCCCTCGCATGCATAGATCAGAGAGCTGTATGTGACAGTGTTCGGCTCATGAGAGATATCCTTCATCTGCTTATTGAGAGACAAAGCCCTTTCCCATTGAGCTGATAGCCCAACAGCGTATATGATGGAATTATATGTTTGCAGATTGGGTGAAATGTTCCTCTGCTGCATTTGGTCAAACAGATTGATCGCTTCACTCCATTGCTGATGTCTTGAGCATGATGCAATCATGGACGTGCAGGTCACAACATCTGGAAGTAGATCCAATAGTCTGCCCTCATCTAAAATCTTTACTGCCCCCCTCCAGTGTTTGGTGCTTTCGCATGCACTGACTGCAATATTCAACGTTGTTTGATCCATGTCCATGCGCTTCAATCGTATGTCTTCCAAAAGTTGCAAAGCCATTTGCCATTGCTCCGCCCGGCAGCAGGCACTCATGACTGAGTTGCACGAGATGATGTCTGCTTTGATGCTGTGCTTCTGCATGGTGTCCAAGAGTCTGAAAGATATTTCCCATTGCAGTCCCTTGTCACATGCAGCGATGGCACTATTGAAGGTTACCACGTTTGTGACACTTGCAAACAATGCCTGCTCAAAAGCCGCAAGGGCCCTGATCCAATCGTTGCCCTTTTCAAATGCCGTGATTAGTGCACAGAATGATACAGTGGTAGGGACAAGTTCCTGCAAACGTATCTGTTCGAACAAGGCAAGTGCTCTCTGCCACTTTAGTGCTTTTGAGCATGCACTGATACATGTGTTGAAAGTTATGGCATCGGGTGGCAGTTTCCGCAACTTCATGTCAAGAAGCAAATGCAAAGCCCAAGTCCATTTTGAGCTTTTTTCGCAGGCACTGATGGTTGCATTGTGTAGGATGGACAGGGTTGAGCTTCCATTCAGAGGAGCACAGCCCTTGTTCGCTGATATGACCTTGTCCTGCAAAAGTGAATGCAAATGTTGCAATGCAGCAGCCCACTGTCCACCTTGGCATCGCGGCAGGTTGACTATGTTTCATTGAAGCACACATTGTTTGTTCTCAAGAATACCAGTTGAGCATGAGAAGCAGCAGGTTTCAATGCAATCAGTTTCGGATCTTTGTAGATGTTTTCTGTGTTTGGTGTAAGTATGGCGAAAACAGAAAACCCATTGTCAATTTGGTGACCCCTGCGTTTTACACAGTTTTTACTCTCACTTCCCTTACTATCGCAAAAGAATACCAAATAGTCTATACTTTGCAGTCTCTTTTGGCGAGTGAAGTTTCACTTGTTTGTGCAAAAATTGACATTCTGTCCGACTGAATTTATTGCATGATTTCATGTTAAGGGACCTTCAGGCTAATGAACACGCCAAATTTGCAATGATTACGGAACACGACAGCAAAGCAGGATATCAAACATGTTTGCACAAATATCTGCAGTAGCGTATAAATTATATTTATACACTCAAACTATGTGTATATCATATACAATGTTATAATTGGCAAAAACATGGTCTCACAGCGATTCTGGCTGGACATATTTTCTGCGACTCAAACAGAACTGCAAGGTCCAAGTAGCCACGGCCAAGTTGAGTGATTGCTCTTGTGGAGTTCTTCAAGCAACTGCTTGGCATAACCACAGAAGTTGCTCATGGCGGCTTTTGTGGGGCTGCAAGAGCTTTCATGCCTTGATCAAACTCCATGTCTCAACCGATAACAGTTCAAGGCCAGCAAAGAACCATTATCATGTTCACACTTACATACGCTGTGCAGCAAAGAGTCAATCAGCTCGCGAAAAAAGAAAAAAACTTTTTCCAGATCCACTCCTTGTCTTGACTGCTTCATCGGTGAAACATTATCTTTTGCTATTGCAAAAGAGTATGGAATCGACGAAAACAAACTTGGGGTGCTCCGGGGTCACTCACTTTGCCAGCAAAGGGTCCTTCGCCAAATACACTGTTGAAACTCATGACATTGGATCGAACACAAAGAAAACATGAAGCACTGCACAAAGGGGACAGGGAATGAATTGAAACAAAACAAGCAGAAAGAGGAAGAATAGAAACTAGCATAATCTCACATAGATTGTAAACATAGGGACAAGAAATCCGAAACTCGGTATATACCAAGAGACAACGAGAAAACAATAACACCAACATCAAAACCTGAAGCAAACCCAACAAGGAAAAGAGCAAGCCACACAGAGGAACTCCTCTCCAGAATGCCAAACCTATTGGAAAACTGATGGAATGGATCTCCCACAGATTGGGCCAAATGGTGTGCTCTTGATGTGCAAAGGGATCTCCTTTTTGTACAGCAAAGGATGCGCCAACCAAAACAGGAAGGCTGCCAGGCCCCCTGCAAAACAGGAAGCGGTTTTCTGCAGCATATGTGGGGAAACGCACCTGCAAACTGACCATGTGACTTCAAACGGTATTCAAAGGTGACCCATAAAATATATAAAATGATCTAAGCGTTATAAAACTTGCGGGATGAACTCTTGAAACAAAAAACAACCGCAATGGGTCTTTCCCCCACACGAAAAAATATTGGATACCACTGCTGAGCACCTCCTGCACATTGCCAGCCAACATACTGAAAAAGCGAACTCGCCATCTTGGTGATGTTCGAAGGCCTAGGTTCTCATGGTTCTCATGGGCTGCGTCCAGGTCTTGATACAATTCTTATCAGCACCCCTGCAAAAAGGTTTCTATATTTATCTTCAGCACTATCTGTTATCAATGCTATCATAGCATCAAAGAACATCATAGATCTCTGCATGGTTTTGTCTGAAAATTGGCACAATACCCCCCACATGACCATATGGTTATGAGTCAAAACCGTGGCACCTTACCCTAAGTCATACAGTAGCTTCTTCCCCAGGCATATGTTAATTTCATAGGTAACTTGACCCATCCCCATATGTTGGAAGATGATTTTCGGGGCCACCTGGGCCACCTGGACCACCTGGACCACCTGGACCACCTGGACCACCTGGGCCACCTGGGCCAATGACTCCAAACCTGCTCTTCCAGCTTGCAACACTTGAGCCGTCGCTACTCCAAGGGAAACCTCGGAGGAGGTGGCCCTGACCCCCAAAGATGGCAGATGAGAGCAATGGTGAAAAAACCCAGTGGATTTGACCGGCAGCACACCCAATTTTCAAAAACAACAATTTTGAACAGGATTGAGCCATGAATTGAGCCATGTATTGAGCCATGTATTGAGCCATGTTGAGACAAGCCAACCCGCTTTCTTACCTGTGGTGGAGAGGCCAGGAGTCAATCCTGCTCGCAGCGACGACATCATCACTATGTGATGTGTGTAATGCCTTTTTTCGCTCAAGTTTGATATGGCAATTCGATTCACAAGCCGTAACCCCTTGCAATTTTATATATGTTCTTTTGGTAGCTCAAGTGAAGACAATTTACAGTAGCATTGCAAATCTGTGAAACTCATTTCATGTTTTATACTAATATCTTTCAAACATTCATACATATATAATCGTACAATGTATATATATATATATATTACAAGGTATATATACAATGAATTGTGCAGAATGCTTGCCGTGACATTTCACATCAAAGCGAGGAAGGTTGTGTACAGGGCATGGCTTGCCCAAGACCTTTGAGAAATGCAGAGATGCCATGGGCACCTTTCTGTCTTTGAACTCGAACAGTGTTACACGGGTACATTGCGCATGCTGACCACGATCAAGCTGTTGTTGATGATTTTCAACGGTGGTTCCATCTCCATGGAGCACTGGTGATACAACAAATGGCAGAAAGTGGGCTATTTGGCAAGAAGCTTTCACTCGTTGGCTCATGTTGGATAGCAACACACGGTGACGTTCTTACAAGGGCCCTTCGGGCAGAGATTTGCGAAGCCAACCAAACTCTGTTGGTTGGACGGTTCCCTACCTTTGTTAGGTGGGAAAGAAGGAAAAGAATGGACAGCAAAGGGCAAAGTATATCCCACATGGAAGCCCCAATTTCAGGAAGGGCTTGGACTCCCCTCAGGGCTTGGATTTTGGCTGAGTCTCTCCCCGACAGCTCGTTGCTCCTTCTAGTACTTAGACGCTTCAACGCAAGTGCATTGAACGAACTGGAGCCAATTACTAAAACGTAGCCTGCTCAACCACAGCGTTGAGTTTTTGGGCTGAGGGAGCAAGCAGGCGACAATGGATTTGTCTCGAGCGAAGTGCAATAAATACATATATATATAGTGATTATATTACATTTTAATCATTACATTTGTACACTGTTCTCTTGTCTTGCATCATATTTTGGCAAAAAAAACTAAGCTTCCTGCTGCAGGATTCAGCATTCCACCAGAGACCCATTGGGTAACCCAGCCCTGCACATAGCTAAGCTTCAAGGCCAAAAGGATCGTTGCTGTTGCTATCTGCAGAGCTTAGCTCCAAGCTGCAGCCATCACAGTGAAGCCAATGGCATAGCCCTGTGGAAATGGCAGCCATGGCACTTGAGAGAAATTCCTTCGATATCCAAAAAGCTCCTTTCTGGGTGACGGACAAAGTCAAAACTGGCAGTTGAAGAGGCTTTTGGATACCTCAAGGACTCTCAAAGTCTATGACTAACTTAAGCTCTGCGATGCACTTGCTCAGCTCCAAAGCAAATCAATAAGCTGAATGCCACCCACAAAAAAAAGGGACGCGGTCGAAATTTCAATACCGAGAAGAAGGCCTTGGACCCTTCACTGTAGTCATGCAGAGGACTACATACGCCACTGCCTTGCAGGCTTTGCGACTTCAGCGCTAACAATATTGCTCGCTTCACCGGACAGGCTCCGACCAGAGTGAAGAGCATCTCGCTGATATTCACCGCAACCCTCACAGGATTCAAGATACGCAGCCAATCAAATATAAAAACATATATAAAAACATTAGAGAAATCTTGCAAAATCACACTCAGTCTCTGTGAAATCACTTTAAACAGTTCCAAGTCCTTATTTCGCAAATTCCATCTCCGATATTAGGCTCCGGCCAAGAATAATCTCTGCCAGGGCCCAAATGTGGTAGGTGTTGAGACACCACCTACAGGGTTTTGTGGTGTTTCATATGCAGACGCTTTGTAGAGACCGCAGAAAAACATACCCCTGGTGAATTTAAGATAGCTGAGGAAAATCACCAGTTTTTTAAGGTGTATAAATATGTATAAATCATCTATACATTGACATTGGCTATTTTCCATAGCTGTGCTAAATTACCAGAAGGAACGAATTAAAACTGAATCAACATGTCCGTCTCACCGTCCGGAGCCTTTTCCTGACCTCTGCTCACAAAACAGTACCTCTGCTGTGTGGCATAGCGAAACCAGCCGTGCAACCAGTAGTCTGGTGGGAAAGGGCGCCAGAAACTTCTTCAAAACAAACAAATCGTTGGAACTTATAACAGGATATTACGCGAATACAACTTCACCAAGGTCTAGAAGTCCAAACCACTGCGTAGCCAGCCTTAGACCCAAAAAAATACTGTCTCTTTTCTGTAGTAAAAACACATGTTTTTCCGGTAAAATATCACCACCTAGCATTCCCCGAGGTTTATCCACTTGAACACAGCACGTTTCAACTTTTGCCTCGCGCATTGGAAAGTCTGCGGCAAAATCCCCTGTGCTCCAGCGGGATCTTCGGCGTCACAGCGTTGCCTTGGACTTGGATACAGTCCCCCAATTTTCCAAGCGGATGTTGTGTATCCACGAACATGTTAATACTCTATATTATGTATATATATATATGTATAATATAATATTATATATAAGGAAAAAATGAAAAAACATGTTGATCCACAAAAACACAACCAAGAACTACCCCGTTGAGGCGACCCCAGCAAAGAAAAACATCTTATACGAAAAAAAACTTGTCGTGGATTTCCCGTCAAAAAACAAACAGTAACAACACTTCAAGCAAACCCAAGATGCGTGAATTGCACCATCGCCTTTTGCTTGATCATTATCTGCACCAGTTTCAACCAGAAATCGTACAACGTCGAGATGGCCCTTTTGAGCCGCAATCAGCAAAGGCATTGCGCCACGGTTCTTTGGTCGATCTTTTTCTGAACCAGCTTCGAATAGAAATCGTACCATGTCGAGATGGCCCTCTTGAGCCGCAATGAACAAGGGCGTTTCACCACTGTGTGGTGCTTGATCTTTGTCTGCACCAGCTTCGACTAGAAATCGTACAATGTCAAGATGGCCTTTTTGAGCGCCAATAAACAAGGGCGTTGCACCATGGTCCTTTGGTTGATCTTTGTTCGCACCAGCTTCGACTAGAAAACGTACAATGTCAAAATGACCCTCTTGAGCCGCAATGAACAAGGGCGTCGCACCATCCCCTCTTGCTTGTTTTTTGTCTGCACCAGCTTCGACTAGGAATCGTACAATATCGAGATGGCCCTTTTGAGCGGCAATGAACAAGGGAGTTTCACCACTGTTTGGTGCTTGATTTTTGTCTGAACCAGCAGTGACTAGGAATCGCACAATCTCGAGATAGCCCTCTTGAGCTGCAATGAACAAGGGAGTTTCACCACTGTTTGGTGCTTGATTTTTGTCTGAACCAGCAGTGACTAGGAATCGCACAATCTCGAGATAGCCCTCTTGAGCTGCAATAAACAAGGGTGTTGCGCCATCGTTTTGCGCTTGATCTTTGTCTGCGCCAGCTGCGACTAACAACTAGACAGCGTCGAGGAAACCACCATGAGCTGAAAAACACAATGGAGTCCACCTTGTCACAAGCTCGGGCATGTCTGTCTTTGCTCCTGCCTCCAGCAACATCTGCATGGCTTGAACATGTCCTTGCTCTGCAGCATAAAGCAGCGGTGTCGCGCCATCTTTGTTTGTCTCATTGGGATTTCGCGGGCGTTGGAGCAAGTCTTCAAGCCGAAGCGAGTCATTGTACCTAGATGCTGAGATCATCTTTTGTGTCTCTTCATCGTCAGGCGGCCAGAATTCCAAGACCACTAGTTGAACCTTCAGTTGCGGTGAAGCCAAAACTTCATCATCCTGGATCTCATGTGAACCATCTTCCACAAAGAATCTTTGCTTGAATCTCGAAATGCCCACCTTAGCTGCCAAGGCTTGCTTCACTTCCTTGGCTGTTTGGCCTTCCATTTCATCCAGGACAGCAAGCGTCTTGCCCGATGCTAGGAAACACACCTCCATGGCTTGAAAATACCCTGGCTGGTCCCAAGTAGAATTGAACAAAAAGCTTGAAACCACCAGCCAATGTGGATATATATATATATAGATCAACTTTGGCAGGATAGACCTGCTCAATATATACACACCAAACATCCCAACCCTTCACAGTCCAAAGTGCATGTGCAACATACTCCAAGGTCCCTCAATAGGGGCGAGTTTTGGACTGAATGCTAACACATCAACCATTTTTTACTGTTGTTGGTTTAACCTTGGTAAAACTCTAAATCGCCATTGTCCAATAGATCCCCCATCTGTCAGGACATCCAGAATTTTGATCCGTGGTCCAAGCTAAAGCCAATCATCAATGTTTGAGCCTTTTGCACCTTCCTATGTCTTGGTGGTTTTGTGAGTCCTTGGTTAGCCTACAATGAATCCAAACGAACCCAAAAAATCTGATTTTTTCCGCCTGTTTGGATGATTTTGATGGGTTTCCCCAATGTAAACAAACAGTATTTCCTAGTTGTGAGGTTGTCAATATGCTTTTAAAATCCCAATTGTTGATTACAATATCCCTATGGTTGGATTGTGGCTGACGTAATCCACACCCAAGCGATCACCCCTTGACATGCCTGGAACCACCAATGTGAACATATCATGAACATGTCATCCGAAGTGGAGATATTTTGCCGATAAAAATCAGCGACAGGGGCACGTCAAGGCAGCCGCCATCCCACCCAGTGCTTGTGCAAGGATTCGCGTCGGCCCCTGCGCGCAAACAGCTGAGCACTTGCTCCAGTACCGTGCATGATGTACTTATCCTGGCATCTTGTAAAGGGCATACGAATCATAAATTCTGACAAAGAAATCTTCAATTTACCTCTGCCCAAACGTACGGGTCTCGACTGCTCAGCACCACCTGCAGTCTGGCAAAGCACGACAGCTACAAAGGCGTTCCCAGGGTTTGTGTCTGGTCTGCAAATAAACTAAACCATACTCCTAGGTGTTGATCATGCTTCCCATCCTGTACCAAGACTGAGAACTTGACTGCCAATGTGACTGCTGGATTGAAGTGAGCTCCAGAAACAGATGCCAAGGAGTAGGTCTCAGCGCTGTGGTTGGGCAGATTCATGCCACAAGCAGCATCTGATGGAAGATTCTCCGGCGGTACTGTGAAGACTCTTGTCACTCATGCAGGGAAGTGGCCAAAGACAGCACCGCTGCTCCAGTGGAATACGGTGTCGATAAAACCAATTTGGCTTCCTGACTTTGCATTGATAACTGGCCAGAAATCTCTGGTGTGAAATAAAAGCAAACACAAAAATCATGAAATGCCACAATGTGGCAAGAAGAACAAAGACACCCCCAAAAAAATGTTGATGAAACTAAACACCTTTCATGTCCGAACGACACGTCGCATGTGAAAGAAGCATGCCAAACACTCCCTCTGGCATGATTGATCCGTCCACATGGCAATCACAGTGGTTGTCAACACCGATGTCAGTGGGGAGAAATAAGAGGAGGAATAAAACAAGAAGACAAAAATGTCTGATATGTGACGGCACTCAAAATACCCCAAAGTTGGCACATGGATATATAGATGAACGTGTAGATGAACGGATAGATGAACGTATACATGGATAGATAAATAGATAGACAAATACACATATCACTGATAGATAAATCAATGACAGACAGATCATAGATAGATCGCTGAAACATAGATCACTCAGAGATAGATCACTGGTCTCTAGAGGATAAATATAATTGATAGATATAGTTTAAAGACAGATAGATCACTGATGGATAGATCCCCGATGAATAAACAGAAAAACCAGCTGCGGTGGTATCCCCAACAGCCGCAACGTTTTATTTTGATAAAATTTTCTCTGCAACCTTCTCCGGAACCTTCTATGCAACCTTCTCCGGAACCCGTTGAACTTGACCTGGCCCTGCACCAAAGATTCCCAAAACCTCTTCCGGGATCTTCTCTGCAACCTTCTCCGGAACCCGTTGAACCTGACTTGGCTTTGCACCCAGGCTTCCTGGAACCTTCTCCGGAACCTTCTCCAGAACCCTGTTGAACTTGACCTGGCTCTGCACCTTCTCTGGGAACCTTCTCCGGAACCCTGTTGAACTTGACCTGGCTCTGTACCAAAGCCTCCCACACCTTCTCCGGAAACTTCTCCGAAACCCTGTTGAACTGAACCTGGCTCTGCACCAAAGCCTCCCAGACCTTCTCCGGAACCTTCTCCGGAACCCGTTGAACCTGACTTGGCTTTGCACCAAGGCTTCCTGGAACCTTCTCCAGAACCTTCCCCAGAACCCTGTTGAACCTGACCTGGCTCTGCACCAAAGCCTCCCACACCTTCTCTGGGAACCTTCTTCGGAACCCTACCTGACCTGGCTCTGCACCAAAGCCTCCCAGACCTTCTCTGAGAACCTTCTCCGGAACCCTGTTACGCCTGACTTGGCTTTGCACCAAGGCTGCCTGGAACCTTCTCCGGAACCTTCTTCAGAACCCTACCTGACCTGGCTCTGCACCAAAGCCTCCCAGACCTTCTCCGGAACCTTCGGAACCTTCTCCAGAACCTCGTTGAACCTGACCGGGCACCTGCACCAGTGCACACCGGAGTTATTCTAGGCTGAAGACCCCATTAGCTTACGCCTATAGATAGATAGATAGCTAGCTAGATAGATTAGATAGATTAGATAGATTAGATAGATTAGATAGATTAGATAGATTAGATAGATTAGATAGATTAGATAGATTAGATAGATTAGATAGATTAGATAGATTAGATAGATCGATAGATTAGATAGATTAGATAGATGAGATAGATAGATTAGATAGATTAGATAGATTAGATAGATTAGATAGATTAGATAGATTAGATAGATTAGATAGATTAGATAGATTAGATAGATTAGATAGATTAGATAGATTAGATAGATTAGATAGATAGAAAGACAGAAAGACAGAAAGACAGAAAGACAGAAAGACAGAAAGACAGAAAGACAGAAAGACAGAAAGACAGAAAGACAGATAAACAGATAAACAGATAAACAGATAAACAGATAAACAGATAAACAGATAGCCAGGTAGCCAGGTAGCCAGGTAGCAAGACAGCCACATAAATCAACACACAGTTCAATTGCCTTTCATCCCGCCGCTCCTGTGGAGCCGAAGCGGCGCCCCCTGTCTGGTTTCGGACAGAAAGATGGCTGTCCACAGCGATGAGGGCCTCGCAGGATGGAACTAAAACACATCAACAAGTATAGAAATCAATGAATGAATACACATATCTACACACATTCATATGTTCATACGTATCTATATAAATTTCTATCTCTCTCTCTCTCTCTATGTATATATATATATATGCCATGGTCAAAACGTAGTACGGGGTTTATGGTCATCCATGCCATAGAAGGAATCCTTAAACCGGGTACATAGATCCCCGCTAATGATTGATGGCAGTCCCCCAGTATGGGCATACAATCCAAATATTCATATGTACATATATTCATATGTACATATATACATATATATATATATATACATATTCATATATATATATACATACACATGTACCTATATACAACATATACAACATATACAACATATAAAACATATACAACATATACAACATATACAACATATACAACATGTACAACATATACAACATATACAACATATACAACATATACAACATATACAACATATACAACATATACAACATATACACATATATACATATACACACATATACATATATACATATATACATATATACATATATACATATATACATATATACATATATACATATATACATATTTACATATATACATATATACATATATACATATATACATATATACATATATTCATATATACATATATACATATATTCTATATGTACATATGTACATATATATGTATATACATAATTACGTGTATATATACGTATGTACATATATACATATAGATATATATATATAGAGATTTATAGATATATAGATATATACATATATACACCTATACATATATACATATTCATATATTCATATATTCAAATATCCATATATTCATATATTCATATATGAATATATTCATATGTGTACTGTAAACATGACCGCATCTCCAAATATTCATATCTAAACGTATGTATGAAATCTATATATATATGTATCATTTTAATATGTAAATTTATGTAAATATGTATATATATATATGTATTATATATACATTTATAAACGCAACATATGTAAATATCAGTCGTTCTCAACTTCAACTTCTTCGCTCCTTGCGGCTCTTTCGCTGCCCAGCCTTGCCGGCCTCCTCCGCTTGGACGCGATTGGTGGCCACCTCGAGCCAGCTTGGAGAGTACAAACTTGAAGCCAGGCGGATGACACGGCGGCAACCCTGTCCGTTTTTGAGACTGGAACAGCACAAAGGCCAAATGTGAGCACCTTCACAGTTGAGCAGTTCAACTAGCAGCACTTGTCTGGCTCTTCGTGTGATCTTGTCCAAACACAGGGCCCCAAAAATCTGTTGGTCTATCATTCTATCATCATTCTCCCAATCTGACGTGCAATTTTGGGGTATACCGGTATACCGGTATACCGGTATACCTCATGTCTCAACAACCCCATGTCCAAGCTCTCCAAATGAAGCCAAGGGGCCACAATGTAGGTGCCAACTAACTCGCTGATAATTCTAGCCGCCCTGAAGCTGACAAGGACTGATTCATTCATATCTCGGCAAGAAACTTTGGTCTGTGTCTGACCTTCTTGACAATCCAAAGTTACTTGCCGAGATATGAATGATCCAAACTTCAAACTTCAATCCCACAAACAGTCCAAACAAAAAACTTGAATTTACCATAGTTTAACAATATTATCCCATATGAATCATTATTGACCAGCAAACAGAACAATATCCGTTTACTGCTGTCCCAATCAGATCCCCTTGGAAAAGTTGTTGCTCGCTTGCACCGAGGCATGTCATCCTGTAGATCTTTTGTTCTGCTATCCACTGGTTGATCATCCAGTGGTCAGGGGTTAACACTGTGTTACCACTGTGTTAATAATACCTCAGAATGGTTACCCTCTGGTAATTTAACGTAGCTATTGAAAATGACCATAGAAATCGTGGATTTTCCCAGCTACAAAATGGTGGATCTTTCAATAGCTATGTTAGTCATTACCAGAGGGTACCTACTCATTTGCCACTCACTGGGATGTCGTAGCTCAGCTCTATGCCATGGCGGATGATATCTACGGGCGGAATCTTCTGCCTGGCCGCGGGCCGCGTGGGGGAATGGTTCGTTGGTAGTAAATGGTTCTGTATTGATGATCATGGTCGTGAGTCGTGATTGATTTAAATGCTCATAGCTTATAGTGAACATGATTGATATTTTTTAATAGTGGATTGGATGATCATGGTTGATGATTGATAATTATAATTATAATTGATAATGGTTCCACCTCTCATTCCATCCACCCCTCCGTTCGTCCATTTATCCCAATCCCATCCCCATTTCACTCCATTCATCTTCAGTCCAATCCCAATGATCGAGGCCCTCGCATCGGCTTCTTCGTCGGAGTTGCTGTCCTATAGCAAGGCATTGTCAGATTCCTCTGGCTGCAGATGGACTTCCCAAGGCTGCGCTCCTCGACAGTTGGGTCCTTCCTTCGGCCACAAAAGTTGAGCGCCTGCACAGCACCTTGTGAACCAAAACAAAAGGGACATGATCAGGTCGACTCAGGCAAGTTTGGCTCAATACTTGCTCATAATTTGGTTTGTTCCCCATTGGTTTCCTGATTGGACCTCATTGCAAATGTGTTGATGAGATGGATGGTTCAGAGTTTCCTTTGGTTGGTTGAAGAGAGGCAACGGGGTACCGTGAGCATCTGAGCTTCAAGCTGCAAATACGGTTGCAGCTTAAGCCTTCCAGAACTGCTTGCAGTGACTTCTTTCTCCGATTCGAACGTCGGAATGGATCCAACTCTGGCCACCCTTTTTTGCAAGTTCAATGCGTACGAGTTCTCATATTTGCAACCATGTCACCTGTATTCTTCTAAGCCAAGCACGGTCACTGGTCATTGGAAACTCTCGGCCAATAAACAATAAAAACAAAACACCCGTGCCCCGCCATCTCCAACTCCAATCCCAAGGGCAATCAGCTCCTTCGCATCAAGCAATGTTGGAGCAGTTCTTGACCCAGCTGTTCAAGATCCACATGCAACACCAAGCATGAGACAGGTCTGCAAACTGCCCCAAGTCTGCACACCAATCTTCCTCTGGACGAACGAGAAAAAAGATGATAGCTGCAGCCGTCGCACCTGCAGCCTTCACCACAAGATATTAAAGCAAAACCTTTTTTGTTGGTCCAAAACCTTTCTGTTGCTGGGATATTTGAAAGTATCAGTTTGAAGCTGTTTGATCGTTGTTATTGCTTTGTAGGTCTCTGCACAACTTTGTCACTGTGGAAATTCATGGATGTTCTCCAACCTGTGCGGCTGCCAAAAAGAGAGCTCGCGGCAAGTTGTGGCCTGAAGGTTCCGGAATGCTGCATGTATCTTCACCATCAAAATTTGCCAAAACTGCCAGTGCCAGCATGTCCTAAGCTGGGAATGCCCAAGTTGTCCAGCCTTGATCTCCAACTATGCAAAATCCCAAGGTGATTGCTGGGTTCAAAAACCTGGCCATGCTGAGAAGTACAAAGAAATATGCCGATGCACTCCTCTGCTTGTCTCTGCAAACTGCAAACACTGCAAACTTGTCAGAAAACCCACCGGATACCTCACTGCAGGGTGGCCCACCTTAGATGAAAGTGACATTCAAATCTGTCAGCCGAACTGGGTGGTTTCTGATGCGTTTGTGACGACAGGGCAAAACCAGAGTAGACCCATGATGATCCCCCGTGGTACCGCTCAAAAGGGTCTAGTCCTGGAAAAAAATGCCTTAAATCGTTTGGCCCACAACCTTTTGGAATTGATTTCCAAAGGGTACAACCCAACAGATTTAAGCCAACAACCAAGTTGCAATTTCCCGGGCAAACAAATTAAAATCCTGTTCCACAACCTTTATGTGGACTAACATGTCTCCTGGCCCACCATTGCGCTGACACAACTCTTTTCCTGGGTCATAACCTTTATGATGATACATGTTTACCTACCCCATTCAGATCGTCAAGTCGATTGAATTGGAAGATCACGACCTTTCAAAAACTGCTGAGGGTTTGGCATAAACACTTTTCTTGTCATATAATTCAAATCCTGGGTCACAGGGTTTCCACCGGCTCCATCATTTTTTTGCTCGCATGCTGTCAAGATCTTTCAAGACGGGGAGATGGATGACACTAGGCTTTGGAGGTCCAGAACTGTTTCTCTCTCTCTCTCTGTTGGAAATGACCAGAAATGATGTGTCCTCTCTACATGATTGTTGATCCCCGTCGGTACAAAAACGTGGGGTACAGTCCTAGAAAAAAAATCGGTCTAAAATGATGACTCCTAACCTTTGAGAGAGGTTTTAGAGCTTTAAATTCCTGGCTCCTAACCTCTGAAGCCGAAATCTCACTTCCAACCACCTTTTTGAATTTTCTTTGCTAATTTCGTGGTGCCCAACGTCCAACATCCAATAAATTTACCCCTCTCATATCCAAGTAAAAAAAATATTTCCTGGATGCTTGCGTTGGTAACATGCCATATCTTCCCCCCCTCAATCTGATACGGAAAAACATGAATTCCTGGCACCTGACTTCCCGGCTGACAGCTCGCAGTTTTTCAGAGTCCACGGCTTCACGAGTGCGGTCCGGCAGATGCCCACGGCAATGCACAACCCTTTTGCATGGACAAATGTATCTTCAGGAAAAAACGCCTGTTTTGCAATTTGGCCACACGTTGGAACAAAATTCTTCAATTCGTCCCATCATTTCCTATCTATGGATGGTTGACCTGGTGATGCGATTTTTTTCCTGTGGGGTCAGCCTTTGAAGATCATCCACAAGAATTCGGCCAAAAAAAGGTCCAGCCCCTTGGACTTTATTTTTGACACCTGCGCCTCGGCCTCTTCAAGTCACCTTTTTTTGGTTGGTGAAGCTGAAGATATGTGGTTGTACCCTTTTGCAAGGACAAATGCATTTTCAGCAAAAAACATATGTGTTGTAATTTGCGCGCGCGTTGACACAAAATTCTTGAATTCGTCCCATCATGTCCTATCTGTGGATGATTGGCCTGGTGATGCGACTTTTTTCCTGTGGGGCCAACCTTTGAAGATCATCCGCAAGTATTCAGTCAAAAAAGGTCCAGCCCCTTGAATTTTATTTTTGACACGTGCGCCTCGGCCTCTTGAAGTCACCTTTTTTGGTTGGTGAAGCTGAACATATGTGGTTGTACCCCTTTTGCAAGGACAAATGTCTTTTCAGAAAAAAAACGCCTGTTTTGCAATTTGGGCGCGTTGACACAAAATTCTTGAATTCGTCCCATCATGTCCTATCTGTGGATGATTGGCCTGGAGATGGGATTTTTTTCCTGTGGGGTCAGCCTTTGAAGATTATCCCGCAAGTATTCAGTCAAAAAAAGGTCCAGCCCCTTGGATTTTATTTTTGACACCTGCGCCTCGGCCTCTTCAAGTCACTTTTTTGGTTGGTGAAGCTGAACATGTGTGTCTGTACCCTTTTGCAAGGACAACTGTATTTTCAGCAAAAAAACATGTGTTTTGCAAATTGGGCGCGCGTTGACACAAAATTCTTGAATTCGTCCCATCATGTCCTATCTGTGGATGATTGGCCTGGTGATGCGACTTTTTTCCTGTGGGGCCAACCTTTGAAGATCATCCGCAAGTATTCAGTCAAAAAAGGTCCAGCCCCTTGGATTTTATTTTTGACCCCTGCGCCTTGGCCTCTTGAAGTCACTTTTTTTGGTTGGTGAAGGTGAACATATGTGTTTGTACCCTTTTGCAAAGTCATGTAAAGAATCATACCCCCTCAAGTAATCATGGTACATTTTTTCCTGGGGTTCGACATTTAGATATGTTCTAGTAAACTCCCATTTGATCCATCCACCTTCAAATTCCTGGCTACTAACCTTGGGAATTCTACAAACTTACCCATTATCAGAGTCATTCATGATTGATTTCCTGATGCCTTACATACACAGACTGATAGATCAACCCCCTCAATCACAACAGACAGAAATTGATTTCCTGCCACTGTACGTCAGGAAGCTTTCAGGAAAAAAAAACTGGGCCTTTTTTGGTATGATATTTGATTCCTGGCCCCGTATCATGCCCCTGGACCCTCACCCACTGTCTGCTAGATTTTTGGAAAATAGTGTTTTTTAAAAAGCGTACTGAACCCCCAGGAAAAAAAAAACTGGTAGTACAGAGGAGGATATTGTTGAAGAAAACCATACGGAGTTCATAACTGTTCAAAATTAAAATCCAGTGAAGCTATCGGATTCAACCTTTTTACAAACCACTGAAATGCATTAAAAAGTATGATCACAACCTTTATGTAGATCCTACCCTCTCCTGTTCGACAGATTGGCCCAGAGATTTTTTTCCTGTACCCCAACCTTGTTTGGAAAACCATGCAATCCTGGCAAGCAAATCTTCGAAACATATAAAATCCTGTGGTACAACCTCATGTTACTAATCCTGCTTTCCTGGCTCCAACATTTGTTTTCCTGAACCCCAACCTTGCGACATCCATTTTTTGATGATTTTTACCTGACTTGGCATTTTTATTCGCCGAAGTGGAGTCACAGGAAAAAAAATTACCGGTACAACGGGGGATCATGATGCTCTTGAGAGGCATGTGCGAAGCACAAACGGAACGCCTTTCACACAAATTGAAATCGTCACACGCACTTAAGGACAATATGGTCCCACATGACCCCTGTGCGACAACAAAATGGCATGACAAACCAAAGTGGCCCTGAGATTGTCCAGTTCACAGTCATCTTTTAGTCGCATTGTCCTTTCCTAGAGCCCTTTAGCAGCAATGGGGACACTAGCATTAGAGACACATGCAGAGTAGCAGGTGGGGGTTGCTCCAAACACAAGCAACACACTGCAGCGACAAACTGTTCGGAGTGTCATTGGTTTGGGTTCCAGATTTGACATCTAAAAACTGTCGTCTTGAAGTTGTGAGGGAGCAAACCAAGATTTGTTGTCTGGGACAGTTCTCGATTGACGAATCTCATGTCTTACGGCAAGATTTTTGATTTGGAGGTTGTCAGGTGAGTCAAGTGGTTTTTTGAGTGGGTCACCAAACTCACCAAACCTTCTACAAGTGGGGTATGGCGGGTATGGATGGAAATTTTCGGCATGCAGAAGCTCGGAGCAGGCGTGGATCGCAGCGTGGAAACAATTCGTGACGACATGAGATGACGGGGCTGTGCCAGGGGCGCCATGAAAAAGCGTGGATACAGCAAGAAGTTCTGCCAAAAGTGTGCAGGAAGCGAGCTTCTGTGCCAAGTAGAAATGTTGTGAAAGATGTGCGATGTGCTCTGAGGCTTGAGTGGTTTTAGTCAATTAGTACAAATGAGATCGGAGAAGCACAAATCAATCAGTTTGATACATGACCGTGCTCTTGCTGCATGGCTCGAAACAACTAATTACTGATTGAATGACTCCAACACAGCTTCCCACCAGCGATAATGACAAAGCCAACGGCCAGCGGAAAGAACTGATTCCTGCCGGGGAAGGTTTGATTCAAATTGAGTTTTCAACAGGAAAGGACGGACATAGCCTGTTCAAACCCAATTTAACAATTTTATTGCAAGACATGATGATTGACCAGTGGATTTGGGGTATATCATTATTCAAAAAAGAATCCGACAAACCCACACAGATCCATTAACTTCGTCTCAGCCTCATTCCGCCCTTGCCCTGGCGTCCTCAAGCCTCTTGGATTACCCTGGAGGGAGACCATACAGTTCAGGGCCACCAGGCAGTACATTGCACTGTAAATACCCTGACAGGGACGTTTCGACACCAGGATGTTTCTGCAGAGAAAGCTGAATCTGAAGGGCCTCAACCAAACTTGCATCCAGGACGCTGTAGAAAGCCTGCGACAACAAAGCGACAATGTGATGCATCTTCTCTGCTATTGTCCGACCGACCTAAATTACCAAAAAAGGTGGACCCTTCTTGACATCAATCTCGCATGTCCTGTTGCAAGTCGAATGGTTACACGTTACACTGGAGGCCACAGATTGTGCTGTGCAAAGCTGACACCCAGAGCCTTGGGTTCTACTGCTGGCAGCTGCTTCTGCATCAAAAGCCGCACACTCGCGCATGCTGCCACCCCAGCTGCGACCTTCCCACGCTGGCAAGCTGGTACAGTTTCATGCTTGAGGGAAATCACAAAAACCTGCGCCTGCAGCACCATGTATTTCCAGACCCGGCCCCAGTACATCTTCCTTGACCTCAAAAAGGATGAACGCTCCAGGAGTTTTCTCTGTGCTTTGCTCTGCCGCCAAGGGATCTGGGCCGCTGTCTTGCTTGAGGTCCAAACAATCCAAAAGCAAGGGACACGGCAGGATTCAAGTGACCTGAAACACGGAGCCGAGTTTTTCTCTCGACCCAGGGCTCAACGCTTGTGACTTCTGTAGTTGGCGCCTCTGAAGTGTCTCTTTGTTTTCGAAAGTCTACAAAACATGTGGAAAAAATGAGTCCAAGAAGCTGCCAGACACAGCGCTTGTGGCAGAGATTGATGCGATTGTGGCAAACCTCAGAAAAATGTCACATCGACTTCATGCTTTGCTGTCTTGTCAACAGAACTAGGACAACGAGGACATTTCATCCACAGAATCCCAGAATCCCCTGGGAAATCTGCGCGATGCCAGTGGCTCGCCATGCCCAAGACCCAACAAACTCCGCATCTCCTTGGGACAAAAAACCAACGGTGCGGAAGTGCCGAAGTGGTCTCCACAGTGGTAACATCCACAACGTGAGAAGCGAACTGATGATCAGCAGCGACGCAGTGAAAACAACCAGAAAAGTACCTGGCAGAAACAAGGCAGCAAATTGGTCAAAAGGGTTGTAAGATATTACAAGATGTGTTTGCACATGTACTAGAACCGACACTCCTGTTCAGTTTCTGGGAGATCTGTACAAGTTACATCTATCATCATGCCAAAGACATTCACAGCTTGCAAACGCAATGTGCAAAATGGAGGGAAAAAACGACTCTTGGAGAAAGACAAGCCTGGGGTACCCAGAAACTCGGCAAAATATGTAGCGAAGGGCAGCACATATTCAGAAAGCTGCATGCCCCCTTCTCGGTCACCTCAACTCAGCAGTAAGTCCCAGGCTTCCTCTTAATGACATCTCTCTGTCTCCTAGATTCTCCTAGTATATATCATCATCGTCGTCATCGTCGCCGTCGGCGTCGTCGTCGTCCACCTCCTCCTCCCCCTCCTCCTCCTCCTCCTCATCATCATCATCATCATCCTCATCCCCACTAAATCTTTTCATGAAGTTCCTCTGCCGTCCTGTTTTCCAAGTTGTGACATATTGCTATGGGTCAAAACCCTTTCACCCAAAACTGTTTACCTCCCAAATAGTTGGTGGATGTTCATCTCCCCCAAATATCTTATCATACTGGATTCCCGGTAGGTTTTTAACCAATTCCCATATTTGGAAATGCCAAGTGCCGCTTGAGCATCTGGCTTCGCTATCGGAGAAGCCAGGCGGTGGTTCTGCCTAAAGTGCAGCGCAACAAACGGTGGGATGATGACACGTGGAGACAAGCCACTACAAAGAATTCATGCAAGAAAGAACTCCTATCATTGTATTTAACACGGCCTTTGAGGCAAAAATTGATTGATTCCTCACTATTGACAATGATGAATAGATATGAGTAGTCACAAATATGCTCCCAAAATCGATGGTGGAGCGATCGGGTTCACCCTCTTGTGAGTGGGCCTGACGTTTCTGTGCAAACCATCTAAGGCAACCTCAGCACGTAGAGGAATGCAGCAATGGCATGCCATAAACGAGTTTTTTGCCATGTGTCAATTTGGATAAGCGATTTCTGAGGATCCTTCTTCGATTTGCAGTGCTGCACAGTGCAACTGCAAAGTGACGGAAGAACTGGAGCCAAATGACCCACAGAAATGCACAAGTTGCAAGGATGAAGCTTCGACAGCCATTTGCCAGGGGTCTTCTTTGGTCCTTGAGCGGAGAACTCAATAAGAAGGCCCCAACTTGCAAAAAGTAGTGGAGCCTGTGGAGAGTGCATGCACAATACCACTGTTCAGGAAGTCAAACTGATGTTCAATCTTTTCTCATCTTTTCTCTATCACTGGTTGAATCAATCTGTACATGTTCCTATTGCTCCTCTCAGAGCCCTGTATAATTCTTGCCCATACTTGTCCATTACTCATCATATCTCTTTATAATACATCACCATGTGCGCTGGTCCCAGCTTTTTGAGCCAGTACGCAGCTCTTTTTTCATGTTCATCATCTCAATAGCCAGCACCTGAGGACAGGCGCGTCAACCGGATTGTAACCGTACGCAAAAGGTGCTTTCCCAGGACCTCAATGGCTGCAAGCTGCTCTTCAAAGCCTGCAGCATCGTAGCACCTGCACCATTTTGTTGTTTTTTGAAGCGATGAAATATGGAACAAAATGTACACACGCTGGTGCCACAAACTTGAGGACCAGATATGCAAGCGGGCAAAAGATCATTCACAGCAGAACAGATTTTCAGGAGGAGAGTTGCATCGCTCGAAAAATCCACCTTGCCACAACTGCATCGTCGGCACAACTGCATCGTTGGCTTTCATCGGCATCGTCTCGAATCGTCTGGCCAGCACACAGTTCACCCGTCAACAATGTGGTCAGCAAGAACTAACAATTTGGTAGCATTTATGTGAGTTCTGTTTCAACCCCTTCTTTGCACATTGGCTCGTCTCTAGCACAACAGAAAAAGTGCACAGACACGGGTTCACATTTCATCAAAACAATTTTTGCAGGTTGCTTTGATTGAACTGCCACTAAAGTTTGGGGCACATTTCCTCATGCGTTTTTCCTATGGCAGCCCTCGTTCCTACACTCATTCCTTCGCTTGTTTAGCTTTGTGTTGGCCGCCTGTTTTCTGTTTTTTTCCCTGAATTCTACCACAAATGAGGATCACCCGAAAGTTCCTTATTGCTTTTCAGCCAACTTTTCTCCTCTTGTTCTACGGAATATGCCTCCGCTGGGACATTTCGAAGTAATCAAACACTTGCCCCATGTCTGTCCAGATGGGTCCTTTGTGCATTATCCGTATATGTGCGTGTATGTATGTATACATATATACGTGTTTTTACTTTACATACACATATACATATATTCAATAAAAAGGAATATATATATAATATATATATATATAAATATAATCATACATGCATGTTCATATGTTTATAAATGCATACAATACATTTGCATATACAAAATTCAAATATGTTCATAAATGCTCATCAAAATCCATATACACAAATATTTTCAAATATTTGCATACAGATTGCCAAGTATTCAAAAATTATTCACATATACTCATATATACAAATATAATATTTGTTCAAACTTATCCACGTCCATATTTATTCATAGTCGAATAGTAGCATGTTCAAATTCGTGTACTCATATACAAATATATCATATTCATTTTTCATGTTTACATATATATATATATTCCAACGTTTTCACATATATATATATATATTAACTAATAGTCTGGAATATTCATATATGTTCATCAATAGTCAGAAATGCTCATATATGTTCAAGAATATTTCATTACTTTCCGATTTCATGTATTTTCAAACATACTCACTCATAGTCATATGTACTCATATATATGTATTCATATATATATATATTCATATACATATTTTCCCATATTTATATGGATACATGTTTTGTATTTATATATATGTGTGTGTTCATGTACGATTTACATATAGATGAATATATAAATATAAATGCATGTATATCAACGTATAGAGTTTGAAAAATTGCAGTATATATTTTTAAAAAAAAAAACATGAACACATATTTGCATTTAAATATTCCTGTATGTATATATATATATGATATAAACATCTGTTTTTTTTGAAAATACATACACATAAATATATAGACATAAACCCGATAAATGTTCAGCAATTTAGAATTGCACACTTAAGTTATATATATATGCATTTGAACTATATGTGTATATGTTTATACAAATATATATATATATATGTGGGGAATTGATCTGTTTGTATTCATATGTATTTGACTACAAGTAGTATATATGCATATACGAAAACATCAATATACAAATGTATTTTCGAACAACATATTCAAACATATATATATATAGGTAAAGGGTTCCATGTGTATATATTCAATATATTTTTCTCAGATACTTAAAGATATACACAATTATGTATGTATGTGTATAATATATATATATATATACATATGTGCCTATGTGATTGTGAATGGACCGGAGTCCAGACTCACTGGTAGCTAGCCCTGAACCCTGTTCAGTCGAAGATCAAATGAAGTCTGGATCCTACCAGTGTTGATATCCAAATGGAGTGAACCCTGTCACTGATCAATCCAAAGATAGTAGATCCCTGATCTAGATGAAAAAGGAAATGGCCCCGCCGAATCAGTCGCACAATGGCTTTTCCCACCAGCAAACGAAAGTGCCGCGTCCCACCCACCACGCTGGTTCTCGAGCCACCACTTAAGGCGGTTCCACCAAGAGATGTCAAAGCAAGGCTCATGTTCATGCTCATGACATTTCACACTCCCAACAATTTTTGTTGCTTTGGCTCAGGACATGACTGAGAGACTTGATTATTCAACCATGATACTGCACATTTACGATGCATTTTCACGAAGCACTGATGCTTCATCATAGATCTGAAAGAGACCTGTTGCAAGCGCTGTTCTCAAAACTGATGGATCCATTGGTTTTGTTAGCGGGTCTGCTAACATCAATGATGTCGGAATCCAGCGAAAAGAGCAGTGCTCAGAGCATCTTTCTTTTATCAAGAGTACCTCTAAGGTGGTTCGGTATTCCTCACATGATGGCATTGCCAACCTGGAAACTAGATCATATAGGGATTTACAATCTGTAGTGATGACTGCTTTGGGTAGTTGATGAAGAGCCTGAGAGGGATCTTGCCACTGAAATCCATCAACATGGATGACTCCCCATAATAATCGAAGCCAACTTAATCTATCAACACTCCGTGACATTGAGTATGCTTCAGCTGACAACGTGGATCGGACTACCCTAGCGATCTTTTTGGAGGACCAACTCAAAGGGCTAATTGGAGCTTGTTGGTTCTGGTCCAAGGCTTTGGTGGTCGCACAGATTAAGGTTCCCTGAAATGAGGCTAGTTGTTTGGGGCTAGCAAAAGAGGCATCACCAAATGAAACATGTGTCACTTCTTGAGGCAAGATACTTCGGAAACATATTTTGACCTGGGCAGTTTGCTGAGCTTCTCGAAGAACCTTGTTGCAAGCTAACAATGTTTCCACCTTTGGTTGAGCCATTTGAACCTGAATTTCTCCCAAACGTGCCGCAAGGTCCGGACGAGTATGCGACACTGCATACTGAAGGCTACCTACCAGTCCACGAAGCTTGGACAATTCTGCATCACTAGCAGGCATCTGCGGCTGCTCACGTCTATGTTTTCCCACATCAATCGCTTGGATCTTATGGACATACTCTGACTGGGATGCTTGAATGCTGAAATCTGGTGTTTGTTCTAGTTGGATACCGCAGAAAGTAAAGCTTCTCTGCTTGAAACTGCCAAAGGGTAACTTTTCCTGAAGCTTCTTCAATTGTGCATGAAAATAACTGTCACCACCTGCGATGCCGTCGTCGACATGAGTGCCGCTGACACCGTGTAGAATTCTTTTTCCAGCTTTCTGAGACTCTAGGATGAAAACGCAAGGCTCGAGAGGATGTACCCTAAAGTTTAGATTTTTGAGATGTCGGGTCAATTCTTTGTAAAACAGTAGGGGGGCATCCACACGCCCATAAGCGTTACCAACTAATTCACAAACTTGGTCATCTGATCATTGGAGTTTGCGACGGAGTTCACTAGGTGGATTCATCGCTAGTGGGTTTGCTTCGTCGGCCTTACCTCGCAGGAATGCCGTCTTTATATCGAAGCTAGTCAATTCCCAGTTATATGACGCGATTGTTTGGAGAACACTGTGTCGGCCATCACGTGTGAGTGTTGGTGCATCTCTAGCTACTTTTGTAATTTGGGGATCCTGATATCCAAGAACCACCAACCGGGCCTTTGCTTTTCGAGTCGCTGGACGATCATCTTCTGCTGGTACTTGCTTCCAAGTCAGAACCCATCTACTTTGGAGAATTTGATTGGGATTGAGATGTTTACGCAACACTGGTCGTAGTGAGTTTGTGCTAATCCAACAGTTAAGCTCCTGATTCTTGGCTTCTTCAAACAGTTGTTTTTCTTGGCCAGTCATATTTTTGATATGAACTTCTGCATGTGCTCGTTGGCTGGCGGATGCAACACAAACCATTTCTTCAGGATTTTGTTCTTGATACCAGTTGAAAACATCATTGGCTGACAATGGAATCTCCAAAGCAAAACATTGCTCGGGACAGCAAGTAAGTGGATCATCGATGATCGGCAAGTCATCTTCTGCAAGGCACACTTGGTTAGTTTCTTGACCACTGTGAAAAACATCAAAGCTATGAAGGGCGGTTTCTTCATGATTGCCATGAATGTCAAGTGAATCCAAGGAAATAACTTGTGTCACAAAACCCACGTCTTGAAGCTCACCGTCATCAGTTGGTTCCACAGGGGCGCTTGGCTCATTGGGAACTGGAACGCTGGTGTTTTCAGGATTTGTGGCCACTACGCTCGGATCAAGATTTGGATTTTCTTCACTGGTTCGTGGCGTGGTCTCACGTTCTGGCTGTTCTCCGGAACTAAGTGATTCACGTCCTATGGATTGAGCACCTGGAGTAGATGGTGATGGGACCATACTTTCGGCATCAGGTGGGTTATCCATTGGATTATTCACATTGTCTCTTAGGGCTGGACTACGAAGGGGATTATCAGGATTATTGGGATCTTCAGGGGCAAGGCTAGTGCTTGATCCATTTGCAGTTTGCCACTCTCGGAGGGACGCTGGTCTTACACTTTCGGGAGCGCAACGGAGCAGTCTATCCAGATGAGATATCCAGATCACTGAGCTGCCCTCTTGGATCACAACACGTCCAGGGCCGTGCCACCTACCCACTTCACTCCTGTTAGGCTTACGTCTTCTAACCCAGTAGAGTACAAGTTGACCTGGCTGATATGTTCCTCGGTGAGGACATGATTTTCTCAAAAGCGCACGTCTCATGGCATCACTGTTATCCGCTAGGATATATGCTTGTCTGGCTCGAGCCGGTAAGTGAGGCTGGTAATTTGGTTGACTTACCCAACACTATCTGTTCTGGTGCATATCCATGGGATCTAGATAGGGAGTTTTTGGCGCGACAACACATCAGCAAGGCTTCGTCAAATTGGGATGGTGTTTGAAAGGGAACCTCTTGATCCATTCTAGTGAGCATACTTTTGAGGAAATCTCCATGTCGTTCAATTCTACCCTTTTGCCAAGCCTCCGTACTCATGAATACATCAATATTTTGTGACTGCAAAAACTGGCTCCATTGATCGGATCGAAATTCACCTGCAGGGTCTAAGTACATGGATTCTGGGGGGCCTGCCCAACTTAACCACATATCTCTAAACCCGGGTATGACGTGATCAGTGTTGTGTCCATCAAGTCGTCTGGCCATGTGGAAACCGGATGCTTCATCATATACATGGATGACATAGCTTTGGAATTGGCCATGACCAGTCCAGTAGAAACCATCCATTCCAATGACTTGATTAAATTCCTTAGGATCATGAAACTTTGCAGGTCTTTGATGATAGGGTTTCTTTGTTTCAACACAACTATCGCATACATATTCTTTTGCAGCAGCAATAATGTGTTGGGGAGAACCTTGAAATTTGAGATGCATGGCAAGTACTTCTGGGTCTGGGTGACCAAGATTGGTATGCAGTTTAACCAATTGACTCTTCTCATCAGCCTTAAGATTCCGAAATGCTGGTCCATGAAGTGGGGTTGGTGGTGGAGCCAAACCTTCACAGAACTGTGGTGATCTCTGCAACACGGCTCCTGCTGGTTCGACAAGCAATGGTTCGTGCTGTCGGGTCGGAACTTCAGGCCAAAGCTGCGAATCACTCTGCAAATCGGACACCCCTAGCTGCGGAGCCGGATGTCCACGCGATCCATCACTGGTTCTTTGGAGAAACATTGTGAGTGTCATCCTACTGGCCATACACTTTCGGATTCTTTGGGCTCGTGTCATGGGATGCCAATGTTCTTGTTGAAGATCATGAATGGTTCCTGACTGCCGATGCATGCAAATGGTATGTCGCCATGGGGCTTCATGAGATGTAGGGGCATTCAGAGGAACCTGATATCTATCGGTACCGCGACATGAAAATAAACCGCAAATCCGAGTGTCGGATGGCATGAGACCACTGACAAACTGATAAAGATCAGTCTCTGGCAAATGTCTCTTATTGCCTACTCTGGGTGTTGTTCTGTTGGCCATTTTAAACACTTCATACCACAAGGAATCATGAGGAACTTCAGTGCTGGATGTATCAGGTGATTCAACCGTAGTTGGATGGCACATGCGTCGGCGCTTGTGCAATCCAGAGGCAAATCTCCCGCGCTTCGGTGGGTTTGGTTCAGATATTGAACGCTTCAAAGATTCATTGACACCCTTGCAGTACGTCGCACAAAATTGGGTCACATTTTGATTCCTGGGCTGATCTTCCGTTGATGACTGGGCACCTATGGGTGGCATCTTCCCTGCAATGGCTTGATGTTCATGATTCTGAGGACATTTTCGACCATTCAGTGCATCGTGAAGTCCATCATCAGAAGTCCATAGTTGACTGCTTTTGCGAAGGAAACGATTGGTACGAGGAATCTTCAAACCAAAGGCACACATGTCTAGCTTGGCTTGTTTGGTGTGTCGACGAATACATTCAAAGTCATCTTGAAAAATCAAGCTTGATCCCAGGGGCTGCTCAAGATGGAACTGACGACCGTGCCGAACTTGGAAGGCACATAGCTGCTTACACAGGCGAAGGTGAACAAGTTCCTGTGCGCACGTCGTTCTTGGATTCTGTCAAAACCAGCAACACTCTTTTGGGCATTCAAGTGACTCCAACCTCCCCAGGGCCCACACTCTGGAGCTACAAAGATATTGTGAGGCTGATACTTATCTATTGTTTGCCAAAGTTTACGACGGCCACTGGCTGTGGAAAGATCACCATCCAACCTGGTAAAACGGATGGCTGTGCCTCCCATCTCACGTACGGCATCTGTCAACGGACTTTGAGTTCCGGCGTAGATCTCTAACAGATCAATGCCATGTCGAGCATCACTGGCCTTTTGTCCAAGAAACACTTCTTCAGCTATCTCCGTCAGTTGGTTAAAGCTTTGTTGAAGTTCCTGTTGGTGTTTCTGATTCAAACGATTGGCCTGAAATCTCGACAAATCAATCTTGCTAGATTCTACTGCTCCCTTCCGAGACGCATGAGTTTGTGCCCTCAGTAGATCTAGGCTTCGGCATCAATCTCCAACTTCAGACGGCAGTAATCCACAAACTCCTGCTGGATGGGTGGAAGGCTCGTGTATCGAGCGCTGCTCCAGTTGAAGTAGCCCGGATCCACTCGAAGCACTTCTGCATACGTCTTGCCTGGATGCTTCTTGCCCCATGTGACTATCTTTTGTCCCCACTCGTGAATGGAGATGTTGCCTGGTGTCACACTGCGGAGCGTGGCTGGTCCACTTGTTTGAACTGCGACCACCTGCAGTTCTTCTAAAGGCACGTGTCCTCCCAAGGAGCTTGCGGACATGACTTCCCAAACGGTTGAATTGCCACAACCGTCCAGCTCTGGGACTGCGGAAGTTGAACCTCCACCTTGAGGAAGAGGAATTCCAGCGATGCGGTTTGGGACAGCCTGATTCTTGTTCATCACATCTCTGGGTGGTGCAGATCTCGTTGGACTCTTTTGGGCCATCGCCTGGCGATAGGCTGTTGCATTTGTGGTCTCTGGAGGACCTGGATGGTGCAGTGGTGTGCTCATACGTCCCTGCTGTTGATTGATCAGTGCTTGAAGAAAAGTCCTCTGTTGGTCCAGTTGGCCATACATCTGTTCCAGGTGTTGAGTCAGATCGGCCGAATCCTGCTGAATCTCTCCCTCGATCATCTGCATACTGACTTGGAGCAACATGGTGAGAACACTCATGACCAGATTGGCCAAGTTCTTGAGAGCCTGAACTGTTTCGTTCCGATCGGATGGCATGGCTTTCCAAAACGGTGGAACGTTCGGAGCAGGTTTCAGGCACAGGCAATGGGTCGTCGGTTGATCTCAGTCTGGCAACGGATTTTGTTGGCATCGTGATTGGGACATTACGACAACTGATGTCGGCTGATTGCAATCCGGTGTGGTGAAATGAAAACATCTTCCCCTTGTTACCATGGCTTGTTATACCCCTTGATTTATCAACATGATGAATCAACCCAACAAAATCATGGCACTGACTGGCGGCTTCAGCGGCTGGTTGAATGCAAAATTCACTAACATCAAGAAGATACAGTCCGGTGGCATTGACTTTCAGCTTGATGGTCTTTTGCAAACGTTTCAGAGTGCAACGATCCTGAGTGGTGTCCAAAATGCCTCCCAATTGCTTGAAGGCACGCTTTGAAAAGAGGAAGGGCATTTGTCCTTCAACAACCTCAACTCCCAGCCACAAGCATTCACTGGCATCAACACTATATAGTGGAAGGTACACACAGTACTTGCTAGTGAGTGTTTGGTTATTCCCAAATCGGAACTTGACACTGCTGGGTTTCTTTCGTACTGCATTTTGTACTTCCTGAGGAAGTTTCCGAAGCAGTGTTTCAAGGACCTTTGATCCAATCACTGAGCGGCTTGCACCAGTATCCAAAATCGCACTAGTGGCTTCACATCGGTCGGGGCAGCTCACAACGAAGGCATCAGGTATCGTGCTAACCTTCGAACTCTCGGCTGAGATCACTTGGCATATAAACATGTGCGGGATTCTGGATATTAATCTGGGTCTTATCATGTGTTGGGCTATGGGTTGCACTCTTTGGGATCGGTGTTGCAACAGGCTTGATTCCTGGGCATGCATGGCTTCTCAGGCGTGTGGACATTCGCTGGGTAAGCTGTTGGCGATTGGCAGCATGATTAAAACTTGGAAAGAACTTGCCAGTCATGGTCCTGAGTCCTAGCCATGAAAACATGTTCAACATCATGAGAAAACTCTGGAACAGCTACACTACGGATCTTCTTATGAGATCTGGAAGAAAGTGTTGAGTGACTCAGACAATCCACCGGTCGCTCACATGCCTCTGCTAAGTCCAGCTCCTCATTCGTGAAGATCTCATCATTCTCATTGATGCTGGGCAGGATGGCTTCATCCTCCTGCTGAACTACATTAGCTGTTGCAGCTGCACTTTGAGAAGGGTTGTCACGGTTTCTGGAAGGACATTCTGCCCTCCAATGCCCTTTCTCGCCGCAGTGGCGGCAATGGGATTTGGCGATACGTGCCAAGAGTTGCTCTCTGCGAGCCCCTTTTCCTCCACCTTTGCCTCGACCTTTGAAGCTTCCTTTCTTGCCACCACCACCGCGAGGTGGCCAGAAGCCGCGACTGCGCTTCTGGTCCAAAAGACGTTGTCGTGCCTCTTGGTAAGTGACAAAGGCTTCATGCATTTCCGGTGTATCTTGTAAAAACTCTTCCAGCTCAGACTCAAAGGCACTCACTGTCAAAGCATCATGATTTTCTGCAGCGATCATTGCATCCATGTATTCTGAATCCAGCTCAGGCTCAGTCTCCTCTTGTGAGAGATAGATCACTCTTTCTGATGGTTCCGCACTGGTTGAGTTCATCTCAGACTCTTCCACCATGTTGACATCATAGACCTTGTTCTTCACTGTGGGCTTTCCTGCTTGAACCTCATGGAAAAACTTGCTACCCAACAGTCGAAACGAAGACACTACTGGCTGATACTGGAGTTTGCCACCATGTTCCAGTAAGATTTTCTTCTTATCTTCTGGTGGAAGGCTAGACTGCCTCAACAAGACATAGGCCTGAACCTCTTCTAACGTTGTCTTTCTCTGCAGAAGCTCTGTAAAGTTCGCTTCAAAGCGACTCAGAAAGCTGTCATGACTCTCGTCCGCCTTCTGAATGGTGCCATACAGAGACCGCTCGAAAAATTCGAACTTCTCCTCAAAGTCTGTAGCTCCCCACTTGCCACCGATCGTGGTGACAAGCAGTTGGACACCTGTCGTGTCCTGTGCTTTCAGCTTCATGGGTCAAGGAGGGCCACAAGCTTAAAAGCTGATCCTTCAACAAGGAGCGCCGCCCTAGGCGCCAAAAGGTGTAGGGATTCCTTAGGCCACATCTCTGCCAGGAATCGAAGTTTCTGTGAATACTCTTGCACATTGGTCGTTCCAGGAATGAAACGAGGGATACTTTGCCAAGGCAACTGTGATGTCGCCACTGTACCGCCAGGATCTTCTGTCGATGGCGCAGGCATGGCCAAAACTGACCTGGATCACCGCTCTTTCGGCGCGGTAGCCGGAGCAACTGGCTCCGCTACTAGTGTGAATGGACCGGAGTCCAGACTCACTGGTAGCTAGCCCTGAACCCATTTCAGTCGAAGATCAAATGAAGTCTGGATCCTACCAGTGTTGATATCCAAATGGAGTGAACCCTGTCACTGATCAATCCAAAGATAGTAGATCCCTGATCTAGATGAAAAAGGAAATGGCCCCGCCAAATCAGTCGCACAATGGCTTCTCCCACCAGCAAACGAAAGTGCCGCGTCCCACCCACCACGCTGGTTCTCGAGCCACCACTTAAGGCGGTTCCACCAAGAGATGTCAAAGCAAGGCTCATGTTCATGCTCATGACATTTCACAGTCTATGTATATGTATATATATATATATACGTATTTGTACATTTATTGACTTATTCATTCATTCTTTCATCTGTTTACATATTTATTTAGCGAGTTATTTATATCTATAAAAGTATGTGTATATACAGTGTGTGTATATTATATATATATATACATAGAGATTAAAAAAAAGGGAGACGCTTCAATGCACAGGTCTCACAAATCACTCTGAATTCAAAGTAGCCAGGAGACATTGCAAGGCTTTGTTCCGAAGCACGGAACCCAATCCACGGTATCTCAAAAAATGCCTAGCTGCCGGATTGCTGCAGTGAAGTCGTGAACATGTTCCGCGGAAGTGCTGATACAGACTCAAATATCATGTCCAAATGGAGGTTTCCTAAAATGAGGGTACCCCCGAACTATCTATTTCAGTAGGAATTTCCATTCTAAACCATCCATTTTTGGGGTACCTCCATTTTCAGGGATTCCCCACATGTGTGTTTCACTTCCATGTCACCTGGTCGTGACTTCTCTGTAGCCGTTCGCCTCGCTGGCATTGAAGGTGAGCTCCTCAAGGCTTCCCACTGGCTGATTCTGAGGCTTGCTACCACAATTGTTTGTATATAAACCCTAGTACAACAGCCCTAAAAGATCATCAACAACAAGACCTTTGGCAACTGTTCATAGCTCCGCAAATCAGTCGCTGAGTCAGAGGCCTCTGACGCGGGGATGGTAAGCTTAAGGCTTCAAGCGCAGCCTGGCATGTTGGAATCCGTTTGAATAATGAAAACTCTAAACCTGATGGGTCTGTCTGAAAATGAGGTATTACAGTGTATACCCAGTAGAGGGCAACTTTTTATTGAGGAAAAGTATGATCAACCAAGAAGGCCAGCAAATTGATTCCATTGTTCTTCGGGTCAGGTCGAACCCAGAGTGCACCATGCACCTGGTGGTCTGATGGTGCTTGCGGACACTGTGCCGAAAGCTTCGAAGCAAGGGCCTGAGTCAAACATGGGGCCGACCCCAACATGTCCACTGTCCACATCCAGGCCATCACATCATGTCTCAGGGCCCCACTCTGTACTTGCGGACAAGACAAATGAATGCGTGTCCTTTTCACCACCTTCTTTTTGAACTTCCACTGGTGAGTCTGCCTGCTGACCTTTTGCTGCTTGTACTGCTTGTAAATTTCGCCCTCCCTGTGGCATTGACTGTCTCGACTGCAAAACAAATTGCGCGCTCGCATTTCGCCGCAACAACATGAAAGCTTCTTCATCATTCGTTGCATCGGTTTCTTGCTTCGCATCACTGTTGTAGGCCTCCTGTGACGGCTTGATACGAGGTGGGTCCAAATTGAACTGTTTGGTCAATGCAGTATATCTCTTGCCAGCCTTTGCACTTGTAGCCAACCGGAATGCCCTATGAGCATATGAGTCGTTCGCCAGCATTTTATGAGCATCTTGAAAAACTTCCTCTGCCATCTTCGCAGCATCCTCAGATTTTGCTTTGGCGCAAGCAGTCAGCAGTGCACGCAGGCAAAACACATCCTTACTTCGACCTTCACGGGCCATTCGCCTCAGTAGTGAAGACAACTCCTCATAGCGACCTTGCCGCGCCAACGCCTTTGAGAATGCACGGTAGCTTCCCAAGGTTGGACGGATACCTGCTTCGTCTAAATGGGACCAAACTTGCGTTGCAAGGTCCACATCACAGACGATAGCACAGGAGTTCAGGAGTCCATTGAATGCAATGATATCTGGAGAAATAGCAGCAATCCTCATCCGCTGGATCCAGTGTTGTATCCTTGCAGGATCGCCAGTCCAGGTTGCCATCAGGCTATTGAATCCAATGATTTCCATTTTCACGCCCTTCTTCACCAATTGCCTGAACCAATGTTCGGCTCTTGTGGGAAACCGCGCGCTTGCACATGCAGTCATGGTTGCATTCAGTGTATATTCATTGGGTAAAATACCATGTGACTCCATGCGCTCCAGCGTCACCTCAGCTTCTTCAAGATCACCTGCATTCGCACAAGCCCTGATCAGAGCGGTGCAGGTCACCACGTCCTCTGCCAGGCCCACAGCCTTCATGTCATCGATGGCTTGTTGAGCAGCAGCGAGGTCCCCCACGGATGCAGCACCCGAAAGCAACGAGTAGAAGATCCGAGCATCCAGAGTTAGTCCAGCAGATCTTGCCCTAATCATCCAGGCCTTGGAACGAGCCAGGTCTGGAATTCGCGCAGCAGCTTTGACCATGGATCCAAAGGCAAAGATGTCGGGTGTATCCCTAGAAACCAGGTCCTGGAAAACCGCCTCTGCCTGGTTGATGTCTCGTGCTGAAGCATAAATGTGGAGCAAGGTATTGAAAATCACCCGATTTGGTTCGATCTCAAGCTCTTCCATCTTTTTACGAATATGTTCAGCTGCATCTACGTCGTGCCGCTTCTCGCAGCTTCGCAGGATTGTCCCAAAAGTGACCGCATTTGGCTCGAGGGACACTTGGCACATGTTGTCAAGCCATTCCTGCAGCAGCACAATCAACTTGAATAGGATGTCACACAATGGCCAATATATGCGCGGTAGGCGCTGGAAGGGCCGCTTAGCATATTATATATATACACATACATACATACATACATACATACATACATACATACATACATACATACATACATACATACATACATACATACATATATATATATACTATACGTAGAAATATTGGATACTGTGACCTATAATCACCCATCAACAGGGGGGTTGAACAGTGCTCACTTGATGATTCATACTTCGGAAAAAAACTTTTCTTCTTGGCACCTCTGCTGATGATTAGATACTCATAGATACTTATTTACACAATGTCAAACTTACAAAACGCTAAACACCGCTAAACTCTCAACACTTTGGGGTAACAATTCCGCCATTCTGCCTTGGCCAACTGCATTTGCCCCCTGGCTGCAAAACCGCTGATCAGAGAAGTGTACCTCCAGCTTGACCAGGACATGTTTCCTCTAATTTTCGAAAACCGGTTCATGATGGTTCATGGAGATCAGCTGCGAATTCTGCAACTTGTTGATGCTACTTCCTTACCTTTGCCCGGGCGTGAATAAGGAGGAGAATAAGGGACATCCTTTAGAGAAGCCCATGCTGAATTCAAGATATACAAGTCGGCTTATGGAAATCTTCGCAGCAGCCTAGCTGCAGCGTCCACTAGACACTGGAAACAAAAGACGCATAGACGCCAGGTGCCTCTTTCTAAAGAGTTGGCAACCTCCGAGTTCCCCCCGCCCAAACAAAGGCTAAGGCAGGGCACGTAATGACATCCGGCTTAAGCATGTGGCCTCGGCACAGCAGTTGGTCGACTGATCTTTTGTAGGACAAATATGGACAAACCACATGACAGGCTCTCCGTAACAGATCATGAATAAGAAAGCAGCCTACATTCCTACATGTTCCAGCTTTGCAGACACTCGGCGGATACGTCCCCAACCACTGGGTCACGGGCTCGTCATTCGAGACATGGAAGTCACAGCCATCTTCATGTTGCCATCCTCAAATGCCACACCGCCCAAGCCCCTTCCACTGGCACCCGGGTGGTGCAACGATTAAATCATGGGCCTGTGCAAAGGCGTCAACCAGGGAATTGTAGCTGGTTAAATTTGGCTTGATGGAGGCATTCCTCGCAGGAACAAAAGATCTGTAAAGTCCAAAGCATCTGAAGCTCGGATTCACACGGAACCAGTAAAAGAAGCCGCCTCATCCGGTCAAAAACTGCCTCGGCAGCAGTCAAGTCGCCCGCCTCAGTGATTTCGTTGCGGGTCCTGCACTTCCCTCTCAGCTCTGTTTTTGCGCGAAGCAACTCCTGGCGCTACAAACACAGTGATGAATCAAGAGCGGCAATTCAGGCACCGACTTTCCCATAGCCATCAATCAAGCAGTTGAAGGGCGCTGGGCTTGAAATCTGATCCTGTCGGGCCGACAGAGATGTTGCAACATGTTGCAACACTTCAGGTATAGAAGAAGATTCTCAGAAACATGAATCCAGAGTGTAGCGGCTTAGCTGCCTTGCACCTAGAGTCTTGCCAAGAACATGAAGATGAACAACTGTTCCAACTCTTAGCAAAGAAGAAAATTATTTCAAACTCTGGGATCAACAGCTTATGTGTGTTCAAGCCGAATACCGGGCGAACGTTTTCTATTCAAGACCTATTTTCCTCTGCATAAGCTTGAATCTGCGTTTGAATGCAAAGCTCTGAGAAACAACTGAAAGTAACTGAAAGTGACCAGTCAATGACAATGATCAATGGACCAACGATAGCATTCCCTGGCCTGAATGGCCTGATCAATCCACTTCTCTGCCTATCCCGCGCACAGGTGAAACTATTGAGACTAACACGTCGAGATCGTGATTCCCAGGGCACAAGACTCTGCAAAAACAGGTCAAATGATTTCGGCATGTCAAAGAATTGGAGCATGCACCAATCATTCCTTTCCCGCGCCAACCAAAGAGGACCATGTTCATGAGATTTGAGGGGACCAATGGTTCAGTTTCGGACAATCAAACATCTTCTCGCCTCCAACATGTTGCGCTTCAAAACACTGGAATTCACCACCTGGGACAAGCCCAAGAGTAAGGATCACTGGTAGCACTCATTTTCCCCGAAACTGGTTGTATGAAGAGTTCGAGAGCCAAACTGAGGTGTAGGTGGTGGCATCTGGCTCAAAACCTGGACCAACACAAGACACAAGAAGAACAACATTGGAAATGTCCAAACACGCCGACGACGACAACGACGACGACAACGACGACGACAACGACGACGACGACGAGGAGGAGGAGGAGGATGATGATGATGACGATGATGACGATGATGATCATGATGACGATGATGATGATGATGACGATGATGATGATGACGATGATGATGATGATGATGATGACGATGACGATGATGATGATGATGACGATGATGATGATGATGATGATGATGATGATGATATGATGATGACAATGATGATGACGATGACGACGATGATGATGATGATGACGATGATGATGAGGATGATGATGATGATGACGATGATGATGATGATGACGATGATGATGATGACGATGATGATGATGATGATGACGATGATAATGACGATGATGATGATGATGATGATGATAATGACGATGATGATGATGATGATGATGATGATGATGATCATGATGATGATGACGATGATGATGATGATGACGACGATGATGATGATGATGACGATGATGATGATGATGACGATGATGATGATGATGATGATGATCATGATGATGATGATGATGATGATGACGATGATGATGATGGTGATGATGACGATGATGGTGCTGATGATTGCGATGATTGCGATGATCGCGATGATTGCGATGATTGCGATGATTGCGATGATTGCGATGATTGTGATGATTAAGATGATTACAGTTACGATTTTGATTATGATTGCGATTATGATTACGAATCTGATTGTTACCATTATCATCATCATCATCATCATCATCATCGTCATCATCAACATCACCATCATCATCATCGTCATCATCATCATCATCATCATCGTCATCATCATCATCATCATCATCATCATCATCACCGTCATCGTCATCATCATCATCATCATCATCATCATCATCATCATCGTCATCGTCATCATCATCATCATCATCATCACCACTGTTATTGTTACCATTATTAGCCTTCTGAACACAGCCTTAGCATTCACCTATTGCACTGTTTTCAATCAATGGCCTGACTGCTTCATCTCATTGAGCCATCGGGTGACCGCATCTTGGTCAGCAGCCTACGGGGCATCACTGGCTGGTATCATGAGTGGCGTCACCTGTGCTTTGTTGAGGGAATGGATGGGAATGGATGGGAATGGATGGGGATGGATGGGAATGGATGGGAATGGATTGTTAAGAGTTATTATTCAGATATTTATAGATCATCTTATAGATCATTCATGATCATTCCCTAACTGGGAAATAAATTCGGGAAATTTTCGTGAGACAACATCGTCCGATGACTTCAGGCTGCTATTCTGTTCGATTCGAACATGCCAGCCTTCACTGCAGCAGCAATTGCCGAATTGAAGCTCACTCTGTCTGGTGGAACCTTGACACTCATCTTGGCATAGTGGAGTTGTGACCCCATACCCTCCGTATCCTCCGCAAGCTCTGACTTAGGACATGACTCCTTGTAGCCGCATTTCCTTCAGGGTCCTCTCCACACCTTTCAGCAGCTGCAACCAGCTGCCAACCATACAACATCTTTCCAAGAATTAAGCATGTCATCATGTGGCCTTCAACATCTCCCACAGAAGCTTGAACTGCGATCATTGCATTGCACCTGATGGAATGAACATCGTTGACTCCGATCTTGCCCTTCACTGGATCAGTGATGTGTGAATATTTGGGCTGCACTGCCAGAGGCACACAACATCTGTAAGCAGGATCCCCATTTGCTGCATCTTCTGAAAATGGGCCTCAACGGATTGTTGTCATTGCTTTGCTCAAACTTAATCGTTCTCGTTCTCAAACATTCTCGAACACGCGCACCGCTGTTCTTCGCAGCCTGTGCGTGCTGGATGTCCCCGGAACGCTCACAGGACTGGATAGCAGCAGTGTAGGTGTATTGGTCTGGCCTTGGCAATCATCCACATGTTGCCAACAATTGGAATGTGAAACAAGAACTTTGAAGCAAGGACACTGGCAACACTACACATCAAGTACTGCCCCCCGTTCAACGTTCCTGCACATCAACTGCCACCTTTTCTTTCAGTGGTAAACCACTGGAGGTGCGTAGCAAAACTAAAACAGACTAGGGAAAAAAGATGAAAAAAGGGGTCCCTATCGCATGCTGCCGGTACAGATATAGTTTTGTGGAGCAGAATATCAAGTCCGAGGGAAGCGCACGCAGTCATCTTGATGCATGGAACTCAGCACCTGCATCCAAAAACCAGTGGGGCACAATGAGAAAAACTCAGCCGCTGCAAAGCCTAAGTGCCTCGTCTGCAGAATCCATGTCTCCACGACTTGCATGAGCGCCCAGAAGAATATTGTAAGCCTAAGCCAGCAAACTGTTGAAGCAAACTGGGGGGTTGTAAATGTGATACGTAAGGATGTAAGGAACCCTATCTGCAACTCAGGCCCATGCCTGAAGGTCTGGTTCATACCCTGCAGCTCTCATCTTCGAAAACCACGACTTTGCTCTTTCTGCATCTCCAGCCTGGTGCTACGGCCATGACAACTAAATGAGTATAGTGATGAGGATGCTGATTAGGACCGTTATGCTGTGTTTTGGTGTCCCAAATGTATCTTGTGGCTAGACATGTAAAAAAACTCTCTACTAAACCTTCGATCAGAGCCGAGCAGACAAAGTCACAATCGCATTTGATTTTCTGCGAATCCCTGTTCTTACCCGTTACTTTCCGACAAGAAATCAGGCATAGAGGTTGCTTGGGTTGTTTGTTTGGCCTAATGGAATGGGCGGAAACAGAAACCATTGGCATTGATGCAACAGATTTCTCAAAGATGACCCCAGACCTGGAATTGGTAAATCCGCCCACACCGCCTTGGCGGTGAAGGCGTGCTTATTGGGGGGCAACAGCAACACTAAATGCTCAATGACATTTGTTAATATAGCAGTCGCTATATCAGCTTTAGCTGGGGGGGGGGCCAAAAACGGTTTCGCACCGAGACCAGAATACCGAGACCAGAATACGGTGGTGTTTTCGACATTTTTCGAGGATTTTTGGGTGTCTGAGCGCAAGAGGGTATTGAAATGGAATTTTGGGTCATTTTGGTAGCTTTCCGGCAATGGAAAAACGGCCAAAAATGAAAAAAACATTGTACATAGCAAGATTTTGCAGGGTTTTTGGATGCCAGAGCATTGAAAACACTGCAAAAACAAGTGTTTTGGACTGACGTTATAGCAAAAAACGTGTAAATTACCGTATGCTTGACTGGAAACATTACAAAAACACTGTCAAAAGCAATGTTTTGGAAGGATTTACTGCCTTTATGGCAAAAAACGTGTAAATTACCGTCTGTTTGACTGGAAACATTGGAAAAACACTGTCAAAAACAATGTTTTGGAAGGATTTCTTATATATATGTTGGAGTTGGCTACCGGCATTGGCACATGGAAAAATTGAAGAAAACACTGTAAATAGCGGTATTTTCAACGGTTGGGGAGATAAGGGAATTGGAAGCATTGTCGAACATGATGTTTTCGACCGGTTTTATGGCGACAAAAGTGTAAAGTACCGTGCTTTGAAGGAAACCATTGCAAAAACATGGAAACACATTCAAAGAACACGGGATTTGGGGGACTATCTAGGCGTCGTTGTCTAGCTATTTGAAATTCCGCAGCTTGGAGAGCCTCCAAGGGAGGGAAAAGTGAAAATTCCATAGCTTGGGAAGCTGTCACGGCGGGGAAAAGTGAAAATTCCCTAGCTTGGGAAGCCCCCACGGGGGGGAAAAGTGAAAATTCCCTAGCTTGGGGAGCCCCCACGGGGGGGAAAAGTGAAAATTCCCTAGCTTGGGGAGCCCCCACGGGGGGGAAAAGTGAAAATTCCCTAGCTTGGGGAGCCCCCACGGGGGGGAAAAGTGAAAATTCCCTAGCTTGGGGAGCCCCCACGGGGGGGAAAAGTGAAAATTCCCTAGCTTGGGGAGCCCCCACGGGGGGGGGAAGTGAAAATTCTTAGCTTGGGGAGCCCCCACGAGGGAAAACCACCCTTAGCCCCTCTCACGGACCGAAATAAACCTGCGGTGTGGGCGGCCACCCCACGCGAAGCGGGGTGAATATTGGTGCTACACATCACCAAGTTGGTGGGTCCATGAACCCCCAATAGAATCTGCAACTGCAAAAGCGGACCTTCGCACAGCGCAGGATCCTGTCATGGTACCTGCCACAAAGATCACAAGGATAAACCACTCTGTACAAATATAAGTTGAAGGTCAACACGCTCTGAATGTAAACAATCTGTTCTTGGGTTTCCCATGCTATGCTTGACGTTCCAATCCAAATTTGGACGCAATGATTTTGTGCTCACTGGGCTCGCGAGGACAAGTGAGTTGAATTGCTGCCTCAAAAGTCTTGCCGCACAAATTCTATTTTCCTTTCACCCTGCCGAAGGTTTCTAAGTTTCGAACTTGCGAAGCATCGAAAAGCCTTGCAGACTTGGATCTTCGTGAAAGTTTTGAAATGATGTACATAACTAGAAAATTAACAGATATTAACAGCCAACTACAAAGGTGCAGGCATATTACGCCGTATGAGATTGAACACTCGGCGTGGGATTGGTTTCGACATCCGTGACAGCATTTCCACCACTGAGGAGAACCTTGCCATGCCGCCGAGGCCCCGACCGTTGATAGCACGCCCGCTGACAGACCTGTCTCGGATTCTGATGGATTCTGCTTTTTGTCAACTCTTGTGTTGAATTTTTGACTTCTGTGTTGCCTCTCTCAGCTCAAAATTTAACGACGCTTCTCATGCTCTTGTTTTTCATGGTTTTTCCTTCTCTGCTTTTCCGTTTCCTTTTGAGTTGCTGCTTCCTTGAAGCTGCACTTTTCTCTGACGCGCAGAGTATTATTGTAGCTGGCCCAAGAAGCTACGCGGCATTCTCATCCATCCCGGGAATCCCCGAAAGTCTCATCGTCCCCACCCATGACCTTGGAAGCGGAGATTGCACACCGCATGCACAGTGCTCGCAATTTTGGTGTGAACCAAACATTTTCTATACGTCAAATGATTCATACAAGTGCTAAGATTGTAGATTTCATACGTACCATGATGATGGCATTCCAAAATCCAAACGAGTTCTGGTCTAAGATAGCTGCGGCCGATGGCTTGTCCCGCTGCTTCTTGCTGATCCCAGAGATGATGTCGTCAATACCTGCAACGCACAAGGAGCGGATGGAGCCCATGAGGACACGGCGGATCTGATCGGGGCGTATCGCAACGTATCTTAGATTCACTGGGAAAATCCTAATCTTTCAGACATCTTTAGACCTTGGTAAACCTAGACTCATGGACACCTCAGCCTTTGATTTCTGTCCAAAGTTGCCAGATTGGTGACTTAGGACCTGACATGACCTGACCAATCTTCAAGGATCACTTCGACTTTTCTACAAGTCTAGTCTACTGCTTCCAAGGTGCGGAGCAGCATTGCCGCTGCTTCGATGGACGTCCTGGAAAGCATGCTGCATTGGAGCCAAACGACTTGCTAAATGCTTGTAGGGCTTGGCCTCAACGTCTGCTGCTTCACCGCAAACGTGTCAAAAATGCCCAGGGCCTGTCAAAAATGTGGCCGATTTCAGCTAAACTCTAACTTCAGGTAAAACAGTTTCCCAATGGTGGCCTTCATGTCAGCCACTTTGCCGGTTCTGCCATCGATGCCAAAGTGTGCATTGCCTACCACGGAAAAACGTTCAGGAAGTGAATCCAAAGAAGGAAACACCGAATGATTCATATCTCTTATCCTGTAAAGTTAGATGCTTCTGAGATCTTCTGAGGTCTTTGTAGTTGAAAGCTTCTTCAGCCAGTTGTTTGAGAACGTCTTCAACCCGAGCTTCATACCTGATGCAGCGTGTCGAGCTCGCAGGTCGGTCATTGCCCTCACTACATCTGCACCTGTCAAGATTGCGTCATCAACAACTCAAACCAACATCAAACCAACAACTCAAATCAGAGAAGTTGCAGTCTTTTGCGAGTTTCGAGTGATTCTTCGAATCTGAGGTTTTAGAACAGCTGAGAGCAGCACCACAATTGTGGGCCAAGCTACGAGGAATGACCTCAAGCGCCTCTCCAACAGCCCTGTAAGCGTACCTGTGCAGTCGAACAAGGGCAATGCAAACGACGATGGATCGCACAGCAGGAGCACTGCCGACTGCCCTCAATGCTTTTGGACTTCTCCTTCCTGAGTTGAAAACATTTGAAAACCATGGAAAAAGCATTCCAACATGTTTGATATCTTGGAGCGACGCAGCGACAAGTGTGTCACCTGAGTTCAGCCACAGTCGTGCAGCAAGCTCCATTTCAACAGCTCCGCCACCAGGTAAGAGGAGCCTGCCGACACCCCGTCCGAGTCTTGGGACTTCTGGTGCAGATCACAAGTTCAAAGCACTTCACCAAACTTTTTGCCCATGAGAACGACGTAACAAGCAATCCAGCTGAGTTTAGCTTCAGTGGTCATTGCATCTGTTCATACCCTCACATCTGAGCTAACCAGAATGTGGGTCAAAAAGCAAATGGAAACAGGCAGGGACTGCGGTTCGAGGAGAATGTTCCTGGCCACGCCGAATGCGTCCTGGTGCGACAGACTTGAATTGCGAAGCTTTGCAGTATCTCCACTGATGCAAGTAGTGGCGGAGTTCAGAAACAGATTGACAGGATTATGGCAAACAATTATTGACACATGACAAGTGAGGGTAAAAGGTGAATGGAACAACTTGGAGACGCAAAGCAACAAAAATGTTGACAGTGCTCACAAAAGTAGATGAAAGGCATGCCGACTTCAGAAAAGTCCAAGAAATTGGCACATGTGGGACACCTGAGAGCTGACATGGAACAGGTCGTAACAGGTTGGTGTAACTCCCACTGCAAATCAGTCATGCAGATTGCGCTCGATTTCATTCAGCACATCCCGAGTGGCACCCCGCAAAAGGATGGAGCCTAAGGGCCAGGTTGCTTCAAGGATCAATCAAGAATCAATCCATTAAACATACCAAACCAAAGTCTAACTGTGTAACCATGTGAGTCACCCTTCGATTTGTCGGGATTCAGCACTGATCTCACTGATCTCACTGATTTCATCAAACAGCGAGATTTGTCTGTTTTGCTGCTGGAAATTTGTCTTTCTTTGAGCTTTGCTGAGGTCAGAGCAGGCTTTTGGGTCCTGGCCGAGTCATGCTGAATGATGCTGCACCAGGCTGTACCAAAAAAACAAGTAGCTGATCTGGAGCAAGTGACACGGAAAATCACGTGGAAAGCCCAGGCAAAGACATGAAAAGGACATGAAGGGAAAATGATTGTGAATTGTGATACACTTTGGCTTGCCGGCTTGCCGTAAACTTTCCAGGCAAGAGCCAATCCTACTGGATCACAAGCTATCACAAGAATCAATTTCTTGCTTTCCATTCCCAAAATACGCAAGCATCAGCTGTCTGTATTATATATACTTTCACTTCTGGGATAATGGTGGGCATTCAAACGGGCCTAGAGAGGGCCTGAGGAGGCTATTGCCATTGCATCCATTGCTCTATGTGAGGGACAAGAGATGTCTGGCCTCTTTGAGCTGTTTCCAAATGTTTCGAGTGAAAGGTAGAAACGACACTTTCGGGTTTCTAGTTGGAACTCGCAACATCGGAACGTCTTTACCGTTCTTTACCGTCTTTACTTTGGCACCGTTGGCAGCGTTGGCACCTGGCATTCGGTCAAGAAGGTGAAGTACTCCTCGCCGATCTTCTGAACCTTGAAGCGACCGCACCTCAGAGGCGATCTTGGGAGATCTCCCAACACCTTTTTGGGTCGGAAGCAGTGTAGACAGTGTAGACATGAACTCCTTTGGCTAACCAAAATCGGTACAGGTAGCTGATAGAAACTGGTGGACAACTTCTGTGAAGCCTGCCATTTGCCTGCAATGGGTTGCAGCACTAAGATCTCTACCGAGTTCCCACCATGGTCTCCTGAAGCTCCTCCGTGCGATTGCAAATGTGGGCTCCAGTGACTCTGGCCTCAACGACACACCGAAAGCGCAGAAATGTCTGAAATGTCTGGATCTCCGACACCTTCGCGTTGACATCTCTATGGAATGCGCTGTAGACTACGCTCCAAACATCTCCAAACCCCAGGTGAACCAGCTATTTAGGGGTGATCTTCGGCACCGAGATTGTATGGCAATGGGATGCAATGGGTACTCTTCCAGGAGCCGAACAATACGATGGTTGTCAGTTTTGCGGATGCGGCGGATCACGGAGCAACCACCCTGACAGCTGCCAGTGGCCAGTGCTGCAGACCGTTGCATGGAGGAAAGCAACGCAAGCGGAGCCTTCATCAGAAAGTGCTGTGCAAGATCCTTGGCACGGAAACTCGTTAAACAGAACGATGTTTGCGGGAGGGGTGTACAACTCTTCCACGGCTTCTGTCCCGTGTGCAAGCTTATATATCTTACATTATGACAGGCGTTGGGACTTCACAGAATGAGGAGTGGAATGGAATGGAGTGGAATGGAATGGAATGGAGTGGAATGGAATGGAATGGAGTGGAGGTGAACAAAAAGGTATGCTGTGCTACGATGTCGGGGCCTGAGCACTGGCAGATAGGCTAGGTCTCCCACTGAGACGCCCTTCTCTGTGATGACAAGGTCCGGCTTCACCTTCAGGATATCATCGCACACTCTCCTCATCTCTTCCTGGAGCTGACCCGGTTTTTGAGCACATCCTCTACCGACATGAACCTGTAGACATTCCACTTGTATGAAAAAGCTGGATATTGAAGATGGATCCGCAAGAAAATAGAGACAACTCGTTTCTTTACTGTGGCACACATGCTTGCACAAACATCCTCATTTCAGACTCAGAATCTCAGAACCTCAAAGATAGCTCTCTATTAAGACTCTCCGCCAAGCAATTTTGATCAAATGGCAAACTGTCTGCCTCCTCTTGTTGCAGTAACTTTTCCCAGTCAGACTCTTTTGTGATCTCGACATTGGTTTGACCTTGTTCAGATGGAAATCATGGAGCAAATCCTCTCGATGTTTTGACGCGGGACTGGGCCAACGCTCGGCCAAGCGGCTTTCGCCCTTCTTGTACTCGAGAGGGCAGTCGAGCAAAACAACCTTGGCTGCTAGGGCAAATTTCAGAGCTTGGCCTCCCCAATATGTATCTTGTTTTTCCAACTTGAACAACGAGATCAATGCAGATGAGGGTTATGGATGGTTGTGGATGGTTATGTTATGGCGACTATGGTCCTCAAAATACTGAATCGGTTTCACACCACACTATTGAATTATCCCTTCCCCTGTTTAATCCATTTATCGCTTCCTTTCTCCTTGGTTTACCTCTTTCTTTTAACGTTGTTTTCTGCCTTACTCTCCGTTCTCTGTCTTCACGTTTAGACTTTTGCATTCTCTCCCGTCTTTCTTTCTCTAACGAATTTCATCATTTCTGGCCTCCTCTCTCTTGTCTCTTTCTCGGGGCTTTAATGTCATCAACAGTTTTGCAGCTGCGGCTGCGCTGCTCGAGGATTCTTGATCTCGCGTCTCATCCTCGGGTGCGTGATGTCCTTGTTGAACATGACTCCGTCCAGTACCTGCTTCGCAATGTCACTTGTACGAACAGGCTATTGGTACATCTTAATTTCAATGATTGCTCTCAATAAATCAAAAACTTTCCTCCATTCAAGCAATGTGAATCAATGCAGTTGTGAAATTCTTCAGCAGACCGGCCTTGCAATCCGAGAGTTCACCACCCTGGATCTTCTCCACTTTTGCAAAGCGCTTTACATCGATCTCCTGCAGAAAGCAGACTCGCTACTTCTCAGCCTACTCGGGTGACCCTCTATTAGCCAACATGTTTGGCCCATATTCGTACCTAACCACGTGTTTCTTGAAAGCTGTGGCCCTCCAAGGAACACACCCATCACGCCCACAAAACTCTACAATAGGGGGACTTGTGGCAATGTCAAAACTTCACCCAGGAGGGGAAGAACCCAACAATTTGGAATGAAATGTGTATGTGTGTGTGTGCGCGTGTGACTGAAGATTTTTGGGATTCCCAAATCAAGTTATGTTGCTCCTTGCGCCCATCAGGCTTGACAATGCAGACAGTCTTCACTGCTTGGATGGCAAGGTCAGAGATCAATGTACCAAACCTGAGGGATTAATCAAGGGTACGGGCCGGGTACGGGAGAAGAGCTGCTTTTGGCGTCCCTGTCAATCTGGTCCTTTTCATTTGTTCCAGTCTCGTTCTCTGGGGACCAGGCCGGCTAGCGAATTTTGTGTCAATCGACCCGCGGACAATTTCACCAAGGGCCTTTCCAGGGAGGTTTTGCCGTACGGACTTTTGAGTGAAGAACGGAGTGCTTTTGACATGTAAAGAACGGCCTTTGGATCATCAACATCTACAGGATACCTAGGTCTGCCGAAAGCAAGTACATGGCTCTGTACAGCTACAAACTGCATAGAATGAAAGAAATCGTATGGATGGATCCACACTACATAGTGTGACTGCTCAAGGAGCAGGCGCAAGCTCTTTAAGAAGAGTCTGTGCATCCTCTAGGGCCTTCATGTACCCTGACCTCAGACACTGTCAATGCTCTCAAGCCTACTTCAATGCGTCGAGCCAAGGTGAAGAGAAGCTCATACTTGTCATGTCCCATTAACATTATATAATGAATCACTCACACCATTAATGGTTCCATTGCATATCATTGAATACATAATAGACATAATATTGCAGATATGTCAGCTGCAGCGATTCATGAGCTGTTGACACAATGAGGGTCGGATGAAGCTTCTTCTCAAGCAAAGGCTCTGCTACCCCCAAGAGCTCCCTGGCGGGCTGGGAAATCCCTGTGTGCACTATGCCCTGCTTTCAACCCCTGATTTCAGATGGAAAACTGCAGCCACTCTTACATTTCAATTGTGCACAGCTCACCCTGCAAGAATGATGACAGAAGTGGTGCCATCTCCAACTTCCTCGTCCTGAGCACGGCTAAGCCTTAGTTTGGAACAGAACATTTGAGCATTTTGGGTGTCCAAACATGGGGGTGTTAAGCATCGAAAATAGTGATTCAAAATCTGGAAAGGTTATAGCTATACCATGAAACAATGGGGGAAGGTGATGGCCATTAAACCACTGGATTTTGCCTATTGTTGGACAAAGCCATTTCCATAGCCAATGCGTGTGATTTTCATTGTGGGAAAATGTCCAAAATACTTCGAAGCTGATGAGAGAAATGGAATTTTACAAGTCACCCACGCACTTCCCTGCTGGGCCAATCTTAGGCAGGAACTCGATCATGTTTTTGGCTGCTGGATGAGAGACATCTACCTCGGAACACCAGAAAACGAACTCTGAAGTGTGTGAAACAAACTGCTGGGGCAACGGATTCAATCTAGAAACAGTCACCCTTCTTTACCCAGTTGGCCTGGTCGGAACCTTTTGCGCTTTGCTCTTCCCCACAAGGTCGGGGACTTTCTTTGATCGAACATGCACTGCTTTCCCACATGTTTTCCCAACTGCCCAGTCTCTCCTGCCCTTGTATATCGCAGCTAGGCACGTCCTAGTTGGGTTGTCCCTTAAGCGTCTCCGCTTGAATGCTGTGCTTCTAGCTGTTTTACTGTCAATTCCCTTGGCTTAGCGGCCAACGCTACAAACTACTTCAAGATTCAGGCAAAATCCCCTGGCTTCAATCGCATCGCTGGAATCTGGAGGCAGGACCTCTCGCAAAATGGCATTGCCATCATTTGTCATCACAATGCCGCCCATAGGGTCCAACCTTGGCAAGCCACATCCTGGTCAGACCTGGATGATTGATGAAGCAGGTTAAATGGAGCTACAAAAAAAGTAGTACTATGTCTGCGGTGTCTACATAAAGCTTCATAAAGCAGAAAAACTCAACAAATATCAAGGATGTCAGCACATCTTGACAAAAAGAGACAAAAAGTATGAGCATGTTTTGGGTCAGAGGGCGGTCCTCTTTCATAATTTAGGAAAGCCAGTCGATGCCAGGGTCCCAGATCTAGGGTCCCAACAGCATTTTCAGCATAGCGCGGGGGCCCAATGTGGTGCGCACGATCCCGGCGACTGTTTTGCCAGCCTGTAGACGGCAGATGACGGCAGCTTCAGGACTCTTAGATTCTTAGATAATCGTTCCTTTATGTTCATTTCTCCAATCAGATCACAAGCACCTGGATGTTTGTGAGCTGTGCTTTGCGCCCCTGCAACGTTGCAGCTTTACTAAACCACAGCAGCTAACCCGTGTCAAATCAAACCCGTTTGTCAACGCAGCTAGCAACGCTGCAAGCACTAACGGTCACCTGGTCTCGCTTTGCATTCTTATTGATGACAAAAACTCCTTGTTGCCCTCCTGAGAGTTGTGGTCACGACTGATGACTCTAAGTGTAACATGATGGGTAACTGCCACGAGTATTGCTCATGTAACCATCAACTGCCACATCAGAATTCAATCCTCCTCCAGGCATGGGCATCATGATGGGCAACCTGAGCTATTTCTAGTGTTTCTTTGTTTCTATTCGACAGAGATTCTACAAAGGTACTTCAGAAACTTAGTTCAAGGCAGGACGTAGTGAGCAGTTCAGCTGCTATTTTGAGCCAAACTGCTGCTGAGGGTAGCAAACATATCTACTGTATGTCTATTCAAATTAGCGGTCCCTATTTTTCATATTACTTCCTACACTTCCACCATTTTCCGCATTTTTCTATTTTGTTGGGGGTCACAACCTGATTTTAAATGCTATGGAATCACTATGGATGCCGCTGTCAGGAGACGAAGCCCCTGCCTCTTGGGAAAAAGGACATTCGTCTCAAGGGTGTCGTAGGTGTCATAGCTGAAACATCTGCAGATCTGGTGCAATTTGTTGAGCCGAAAACTGGCAGCAGTATTCAAGGCTAGGAGCAAGCTTCAGCCATGAGGCCAGAATTCATCTTTTAGTCATGCCTACATTAAACTACGTTGCATATTGTGTTGCATATTTTGCTGACGGGATTGGCTCTCTCAGCATCAACTTCTGTGATGGTTTCTTCACCGCGAAGACTTAAACACTTCTAGCTTGCACGGATCTTGCTACTCCTGCCGGGTGAAAACTTGTGCTATGTGTTCTCGGCAAAATGAAAATGCGGGATAGAGAGAATCATAGCAAGCAAAGCAAAATTGGCGCTCAATAAACCTGGAATATCGGGATGGCAGACCATTCAATTGGGACATATTATGACTTTTAAATACTTTTAATTCCAGTCCAATCAAAGCTCCTTTCCGCATTCTCTGAACTTCTCTCTGGCTCCACATCACATCATCTGCTCCCTGCATAGAAAACGAACTGGTACTGTCGACTGCACCGGCATGGTGTCATGGTTCTTAGGAGCCAGCTGTGCCGGAGCTGTTGAAGGGCCCTGTCATGTCGACTGGCATAGGAAATCTTTGTGAGGGAACTACATCTGTGCATATATGGCATATGACTCTTGTTACTGTCTGCCACCCGACACTTCCCATCCAACCATTCGTCCGGATAAGACGACGTTGAAACCATCAAGGACATATCTCTCTTAATCGACCAGCCTGGCCTGGACTGCATCCATTGTACATGCAGCAGGTGCTTGATTCCTGTCGTACAAACAGAGGAGAGATTGCAGGAAAGGTGGCAGAAGATTTCTATGTATCTTTGCTCAAAGCCATTTTCTTGAAAGCTCAGGGCTGGACGGTTGAGCCTGCCCTGCCTTACAAATCCAATAACAAAGGAATCTCAATTGCTCAAGGCATTTGAAGCCAAGCTCTGTTGCTAGATGTTGCTAGGGTGCGCGAACTTGTGCCAGTTTGGAACATTTTGGAGGGGGTGACTGCACAATCATCTGGTTTGTGACTAATTTGACAAACTCAGAGTGCTCAGCACTTTTGAACCCAGTTTGGAGGAATTGTTTCTTCATGCTCTTCCCATGGATCACTATCACACCTCGATCGACACTTCAAATAACGTTGCTCTGCTTTCACTGCTTTTTCAATGGCTCTGTTCACTTTGACCGGGTCCAACCAACTACTCAACGTGGCCAAAGATATGTTCACCAATGCCACGGCCCCGAGCAGCAGAAGAATTATACATTTTTTGAAGCAACCCAAGCATTGCAAAAAGGACCATGACCATCGCCGTCCCACTTCTCTCAATATAGTGACGTGTTACAGCGGTGATCAACCTTTTGCATTCCAAACAGCCACATTGAAACCGGCCCCAAGCGCATAAACAACCCGCCGGGGGGAAAACCGCGCCAGCTTTTTGAGGGTTTTTTTAAAAAATGTCGTTTTCGCCATAGCGAAACTACTGATTCATGCCCAAAAATTGGCTCAAAATTCCCCAGGATTTTGAAGTGTTTTTGAAACGATAACCTGTAAATTACAGGGAATTTGTTCCTGAAAACTCGCCGGGTCTTTTTTTCCAACTTACATTGCCACACGGTCTTTCAAGGCTCGACCTGTGACCTCCATAAGACTTTTCGTCTTGGAGTTCATCCAACGCCAACCCAGTGACGTAACATAAGATGTGCATGTGACGCAAGTTAACATGAACGTTAACATCCCCAACCCCCAACCCAGTGACGTAACGTAAGATGTGCATGTGACGCAAGTTAACATGAATGTTAACATCCCCCACCCCCCCAACCCAGTGACGTAACGTAAGATGTGCATGTGACGCAAGTTAACATGAACGTTAACATCCCCCACCCCCCCAACCCAGTGACGTAACGTAAGATGTGCATGTGACGCAAGTTAACATGAATGTTAACATGCCCCACCCCCCCAACCCAGTGACGTAACGTAAGATGTGCATGTGACGCAAGTTAACATGAACGTTAACATCCCCCACCCCCCCCAACCCAGTGACGTAACGTAAGATGTGCATGTGACGCAAGTTAACATGAACGTTAACATGCCCCACCCCCCCAACCCAGTGACGTAACGCAGATGTGCATGTGACGCAAGTTAACATGAACGTTAACCCCCCCCCCCAACCCACCCCGCACCCCCCCCAACCCAGTGACGTAACGTAAGATGTGCATGTGACGCAAGTTAACATGAACTTTAACATCCCCCACCCCCCGAACCCAGTGACGTAACGTAAGATGTGCATGCGACGCAAGTTAACATGAACGTTAAAATTTCCACCCCCCCAACCCAGTGACGTAACGTAAGATGTGCATGTCATGTGACGCAAGTTAACATGAATGTTAACATCCCCCACCCCCCCAACCCAGTGACGTAACGTAAGATGTGCATGTGACGCAAGTTAACATGAACGTTAACATTCCCCACCCCCCCAACCCAGTGACGTAACGTAAGATGTGCATGTGACGCAAGTTAACATGAACGTTAACATCCCCCACCCCCCCAACCCAGTGACGTAACAAGATACGCAAGTTAACATGAACGTTAACATCCCCACCCCCCACCCAGTGACGTAACGTAAGATGTGTGACGCAAGTTAACATGAACGTTAACATCCCCCACCCCCCAACCCAGTGACGTAACGTAAGATGTGCATGTGACGCAAGTTAACATGAACGTTAACATGCCCCACCTCCCCCCAACCCAGTGACGTAACGCAAGATGTGCATGTGACGCAAGTTAACATGAACGTTAACATGCCCCACCCCCCCAACCCAGTGACGTAACGTAAGATGTGCATGCTACGGATAAAATATGTGAGTTTTCAAAAACGGTTAAAACGCTGGCGCGGTTTTCCCCCCGCTGGCATAAACAAGGTGAATCTGACATAGTACAATACACACGCCTGATATCCTCCTCTCCGCATCATGTCAGCGGCAATCATCTGCATCTTCATGAACTCAAACTTTTCATCACTTCCAAGCCGCTTAACGTAAGCGATCCTGTCAGAGCCAGTCCAATACTGTCCGTCGGATATCCGATTACTACATGATGCATATTGATTCCATATTGATTGCATGAGTTTTATCGCTCAGCCCTTCAGTGACAATTCTCCGCGCCTCCCCTCTGGAGGAAGATTCTGGAAGACCTACTGCCCAAGTGATCGCCATGAACCCATATAAGCCCACCTTTGTATGGACCTAGACGCAATTTACTGTGCCACAGTGTCTTGCAGAGTACAAGTACTTTAGTGTAGTGCCATGTCAGGAGTGGAATGCAATACAGTGCAATGCAATGTGCAAATTGAAGGATGGCAACGAATGTATGCAAAGTGTGAAATGCTGAGTGGAATGTAAAGGGGGGTGTGAAAAATATTGTGCATTTTTGTATAATCATTTTATGCAGGCTACATTGAACAGCGAAAAGCTTTTGTACAATACGGTCCAACGTAACTGCATGAAACGAAATGTCATGCATCTGTAATATGCATGCATCTAACTCTGTGTCCCTGTGTGCTGTGTGTGTGTGTGCGTGTTTGCTTGCGCACATGTGAATGTGCGGGCTGTGCGTTTTTGTTCTTTGTTGTCTTGTGAGTCTTCAAAGAAGTGCAATGTCTAGCTGAGTCTACCTCTTTGATGTTTCCTAGGATGGTGAAGAGCTACCTGCATCTTCTTCATCCTCTTTTCGTCGAAGAACGACGATTTCCTCAGCAAGTCCGGTCCATGCTTCGACGACACAGCTGGCTCCACTGAGGCGAGGGCTCTTCCATCGACATATTGGCCACCGCATCGCGCGCCTGCAATGGGAGCTTTCTAACAGCTGCGGATGGCCAATATCACTTACATTGAATACATGGACCAGACCTTTGGCACAAAGGCTTCCATTTCTTTGGCAAGTTCCGGGTCAACTGGTGGCCTGAGAACAGAAGTGAATAGCACAAATGAATTCAATGTGCATATAAAGAAGGATTCGGTTTGTTTGGTTTCTTCTTCAAACCAGCTCTCGCTTTTGTGCCGGAGCATCTAAGATCATGGGAGGGACACACATACTGGTGTCCCAACGGCAAGGGAGAACGCGCCTGAGGAAAAGTGCTGGCTTCCTTTTGATTATTGCGTTCAGAAGGTCACATTAAAGAGGGTTGGTCGCCCGCAAGGCTCTGTACTGCTGCCTTCAGAAGGGGACGTTCAAGAGTGGTCGGTGGCCCGCAGAACACGGTGAAACCTTCAGCTAGGTGTTGTTTGGTGCCCTTACCCTTAGAGAACTTCTTCTTATTTGAGGAATCTTTCTTAAATTTCAGGACTTTTTTTCTGTCATGGAAATTGGACACGCATGTGTCGATTTTTTTCATTGCCCTACAAAAACCTAGTCAAAAAAACAACGTGTAAAACTCAGCAAGTGCCTAATTTTCATTTTTTTAATGGTTGGGTTCGCACGGGTGCAGGGGGCCTAATTCTATACCCAAGAATGGGGGGCGAACCTCCCAAAAAAAAAACGTGTTTTTGTGCAAGGAAACTCACTGAGTCGGTTTTATCTTTGAAGTTGTTTTTTATTGACGAAATAATTATATATATATATAATAGCTATATTGTTTACTCATGTTTTTGGATATTTCGTAGTTTTGCAGATAGAATGTGTTTTGGCTGTTTGAATGGATATATATATATATATATGTAATAGAATGTGTAGATTATATGTATATATGATATATGTGTTTTCAAATTATAACGCATATTCTACTAATTTTGGGGAACATGTCATGCAAATATGTTGTGAGAAATTAATCAACGGTAAAAACTACCAACTTAATAACAGACAACACGTTAATACGTTAGAACATGAAACGATTAATAATAAACAATGTTCCCTTGAATAGATTGTTTAAAAATAATGATGGTTTCAAACTCTTTTTTGATCCTGGCAGTGTTTAAACAAATAGTGTGAAAAACTATGGATTTTGGCAACGCAGTCTGTTTGGGAACCTCAATTACCGATAATTTGTTGTTGTTATTGTACAGTAAGAGTTTTGGCCATTTTCGACTTTGAACTGATTTTCAACAAGTGTCCTTGGCAGCCAGTTTTTTGACCCAAAAAAATGGGTCTCTTGGATACTTGTTGCAAGTCAAGAAGAACAGGTTAAAACGAAAGAATAAATCCGAAATTACATGAAAAATTGCCATGCAATTAAAAAAACAACTACAGAAGTTCAGATTTGAATTCACATCTAAACCTGGGTCAGATAATTTCAGAAAAAACTCAAGAAAATTTAGAAATATCAAATCTACACCTGGAAGAGTTGACATAAGTTTGTAAAGGTTCAGAAGCATTCAGATTTGGATTCAGATTTTAACCTGGCACATTGCAAATAAATCAGGAAAGTTCAGATTTCACTTGATTGATACAAATATATATATATATATATATACACGGCCAAACACCTCGTCTTGCCCGCGCCTGTTGGCCCGCCTTCTTCGTATGAGCTGAAAACGTGGTAAAAATGGAATATTTTAGCACTATGGTTAACTTGATGTTCTAGATCAGAACGCACAGCACAGGGACATGTGCAGGTTCGTTCCACATCGTCATCGTCATCGTCATCATCATCATCATTATCATCATCATCAACAATGAAGATCTGCAATGAATATAGAAGTTTACCGGGGGTGGGAGAATTAAGCCCTTGTTGAAGATCTTCAACGAATGTAGAAGTTTACTGGGGGTGGGAGAATTAAACCCTTATTGAAGATCTTCAATGAATGTAGACGTTTGACTGGGGTGGGAGATTGAACCCATATTGAAGATCTTCAATGAGTGTAGAAGTTAAATGGGGGTGGGAGAACTAAACGCGTATTGAAGATCTTCAATGAGTGTAGAAGTTCAATGGGGGTGGGAGAATTAAACCCTTATTGAAGATCTTCAATGAATGTAGAAGTTCAATGGGGGTGGGAGAACTAAACGCGTATTGAAGATCTTCAATGAATGTAGAAGTTCAATGGCAGTGGGAGAATTAAATCCTTATTGAAGATCTTCAATGAATGTAGAAGTTTAACTGGGGTGGGAGAATGAAACCCTTATTGAAGATCTTCAATGAATGTAGAAGTTCAATGGGGGTGGGAGAATTAAACCCTTATTGAAGATCTTCGATAAATGTAAAGTTGAACGGGGGTGGGACTTTTATATTCCCTAATACCTTTGTTGATCTTCCCAAGACAAGAAGGGTGTGGGCGAAACGGGGTGTTTGCGCGTATACATATTTATATTTTACATGGCAAATATGATATCTATATAATGTTGGCAGTGGCCAATGCAACCTGACAAATGTACGAATACATGTCCAACACATGATGACATCGAAACAATTACAGTAGAAACAGGTGAAACATAGAACAAACAAGATCACGTCGTCATTGACGTAAGATGGCAACGGCATCGAATAGGCCACTTATTGGTTCATACGTTTTTATGTGAAACTAATGTTCATGTACAATCCTGATCACCCCTGTCGTTTAACAATTTGAAACAATCCTTCCCGACTTCCTCGCCAAAAAAAAACGAACCGCAAATTTTAAAAACAATTCCATAAAAATATGTTCGAAAACTCAAGCAGGTCTCAGGTCCTCAAAGAGAAACCATAACTTTCAAA